CTGCACAGCGGGGTCAGCGGGGCCCTTCATTACGCCACTGCAGAGGTTACAGAGGTTCCTGAACTCTTCCATCCACGGCAATAAGTGATTTGAACCTAAATCTGTTCAACACTCCTAGATCCTAAAAAGTCGGGAAGTGTTTGATGGGTGAGGGCCTGAACCGCATGTTGTTGTGATGTGAATTTATGGAATTTTATTTTTAGTTGACTATTTTATAAGTTAGAAAGGGTTTTATTTAAAACCAAACTAAATGTATACTATTATCATATTGGTATACATACAAGAAAACAACAATTTTATTTAGTATCAATTAAAGCAGACAAAAATATATTTCTTATATATAACTATCAGGAACTTTAGATCAGATATCCTATGGGACTTGGAGTAGCTAGAGATTGAATAGAAGGTATATACCATTTACAAAGATACGTCGAAAAGAATCCAGGGTGATACAGGATCGGAGAGTGCAGTGCCCTAATGTTGCCTGTTGGCGCCCCCCCCCCCCGCCCCCCTGTTGGCGTCCCCTCTTCTTTTGGTGCCCCTCCCTAAAATTGAACAAATGAGGTGATTTTAGAGGATACGCCGGTAAAATCTCTAAAAAAGTGTGTATCTAGAGCAAAACGCGCAGTTTTGCTAGTACTTTAGTTAAGTTTTCGAAATTATCCCACATTCAAACGATGATTTGGCGCCCCCTAAGACGGCGCCCCCCCCCCCAGCGGGATAGTGCAGACCATAAAGTTTACGTACCCACCTTTGCCTCCTGAATTCTTGGTTGGATAGAAATTTATGCAAACTTGGTCGTTTATACTCCAAGTCCCTTTGTTAAAAGAAGTAATATTATTTATGTCTAGAGTTAGCTTCATTCAATAATAACAATGTCAATATAATCAATATTAGAATCAACATCAAACAAAACTATCGAATAAATAAATTATCAAATATTAATTAATTCGGTCGGATTAAAAATGTTGTAAATTTAGATGTTTAGTATTTAAAAATATTACAACAAATGGTTAAAAGTGCCCAAAATCGATTTGAGAGATTTTCAGTCTATAGTACAATAATGATAGTTATAGTAAGTGTGTGCCGCTGCAATTAGATTAGATTACTGCAATTTAAAATTGTTTGGAGTCCAAGTATCTTTTAAGTCAGCTGCCTTTGCCCTGTATTAATAGTGCTTTAATTCTCAATTTTATCAAGTTCATGGAAGTTTCTAGGCGCGGCGATTGCTTGAAGTTAAAAATTTTTTATAAACAGCGTTCCAAAGCTTTGCTGCATTAAACAAATAGTCATGGATCTGACGACATTCCCGTCTATATAACTTCCGCCCCGGGGTTTGAGACTTGGAATACCTCAAGGGACCCATTAGAAACAAATTTGGCTTGGGTAGAAATTTTGGCTATGGGGCAGTTTTGCGCAATTGACCACGCCCTTTTTTGGCGCTTTTGGAACTTTAGAATCAAAATAACTCCGCTTCTAATTGGAATTAGAAGCTCAGCTTGGCTTTAAAGTTGTTCAGAATCATCACATTTAGGGGGGTAGAGCATAATTTTAAAGTCAACAGACATCTGGTTGTTGAGTTATGTGACCACACCCTTATTTACCCTCGCGAGTCGTGATTTTCACACTAAATACGAGATATCTCGGCTTCTGATTGAGCTACGTGCTCATCCTGGGCATTAAAATGTTCAGAATCATCACATTGAGTAGGGTAGACCACAATTTCAAAGTCCTCAGATGTCAGGTTGTTGAGTTATTAGGCCCCAACCTGTTTTTACGCTCTCACGGGTAGCGATTGCAGCGCTTAAAATCAAAATAACAAAGCTTCCAATTGAAGTTAGGAGCAAAACTCGGGCAGCAAAATGTTCACAATCATCACATTGAGTGGGGTAGAACGTAGTTTCAAAGTCCTCAGACGTCAGGTTGTTGAGTTATTAGGCCCACACCATCATATTTACGCTCTCGCGAGTCGCGAGTCGACACTTAAAATCAAAATAACTCGGCTTCTGATTAGAGTTAGGAACTAAACTTGGGCATAAAAATGTTCAGAATCATCACATTGAGTGGGATAGAACGTAGTTTCAAAGTCCTCAGACATCAGGTTGTTGAGTTATTAGGCGGAACCCTATTTTTACGCTCTCGCGAGTCGCGAGTCGACACTTAAAATCAAGATAACTCGGTTCCTGATTAGAGTTAGGAACAAAACTTGGGCATGGAAATGTTCAGATTTATCATATTGAGTGGGGTAGAATGTGGTTTCAAAGTCCTCAGACGTCAGGTTGTTGAGTTATTAGGCGGAACCCTATTTTTATGCTGTCGCGAGTCGACACTTAAAATCAAAATAACTCGGCTTCTGATTAGAGTTAGGAACTAAACTTGGGCATAAAAATGTTCAGAATCATCACATTGAGTGGGATAGAACGTAGTTTCAAAGTCCTCAGACGTCAGGTTGTTGAGTTATTAGGCCCACACCATAATATTTACTCTCTCGCAAGTCGCGAGTCGACACTTAAAATCAAAATAACTCGGCTTCTGATTAGAGTTAGGAACTAAACTTGGGCATAAAAATTTTCACAATTCTGGACATTTCTATGCCAAAGTTTAATTCCTAACTCTAATCAGGAGCAGAGTTATTTTGATTTTAAGCATAGAATCACTACTTGCGAGAGCGTAAAAATAGGGTTCCGCCTAATAACTCAACAACCTGACGTCTGAGGACTTTGAAACTACGTTCTATCCCACTCAATGTGATGATTCTGAACATTTTTATGCCCAAGCCGAATTATTTTGATTTTAAGTGTCGACTCGCGACTCGCGAGAGCGTAAATATGATGGTGTGGGCCTAATAATTCAACAACCTGACGTCTGAGGACTTTGAAACTACGTTCTACCCCACTCAATGTGATGATTGTGAACATTTTGCTGCCCGAGTTTTGCTCCTAACTTCAATTGGAAGCTGAGTAATTTTGATTTTAAGCGCTGCAATCGCTACCCGCAATTATTAGGCCCCAACCTGTTTTTACGCTCTCGCGGGTAGCGATTGCAGCGCTTAAAATCAAAATAACAAAGCTTCCAATTGAAGTTAGGAGCAAAACTCGGGCAGCAAAATGTTCACAATCATCACATTGAGTGGGGTAGAACGTAGTTTCAAAGTCCTCAGACGTCAGGTTGTTGAGTTATTAGGCCCACACCATCATATTTACGCTCTCGCGAGTCGCGAGTCGACACTTAAAATCAAAATAACTCGGCTTCTGATTAGAGTTAGGAACTAAACTTGGGCATAAAAATGTTCAGAATCATTACATTGAGTGGGATAGAACGTAGTTTCAAAGTCCTCAGACATCAGGTTGTTGAGTTATTAGGCGGAACCCTATTTTTACGCTCTCGCGAGTCGCGAGTCGACACCTAAAATCAAAATAACTCGGCTTCTGATTAGAGTTAGGAACTAAACTTGGGCATAAAAATGTTCAGAATCATCACATTGAGTGGGATAGAACGTAGTTTCAAAGTCCTCAGACGTCAGGTTGTTGAGTTATTAGGCCCACACCATAATATTTACTCTCTCGCAAGTCGCGAGTCGACACTTAAAATCAAAATAACTCGTCTTCTGATTAGAGTTAGGAACTAAACTTGGGCATAAAAATTTTCACAATTCTGGACATTTCTATGCCAAAGTTTAATTCCTAACTCTAATCAGGAGCAGAGTTATTTTGATTTTAAGCATAGAATCACTACTTGCAAGAGCGTAAAAATAGGGTTCCGCCTAATAACTCAACAACCTGACGTCTGAGGACTTTGAAACTACGTTCTATCCCACTCAATGTGATGATTCTGAACATTTTTATGCCCAAGTTTAGTTCCTATGTTGATAGCCTCATAAAGGAAGTATGGGCAGTGGTACTTGATAATCTTAGAGAATTCTGAAATGCATTGATATTTGTACAAGTTTTGAGCCGTCTATTAAAAATGGGTTTGTAATTTGTATGCTCCTTTTCAAAGTGTTTATGGTCTAATTTTTGCATGCCATATGGTCTAGTACGTGCACATGTTGCTTGTTTATTTAAATATGAGTCGATATCACCAAAAAGGATCCTTATACAGTGCTTCTGTGTGATAAAAAGACTATCATTGGACCGTTCTTTGAGGACAACACCCCAAACACTTATACCATAACTGAGATGTGCTTCAAAGAAAGCATTACATATTTTCAAATATAGTTCAGAAGGTATCGAGTGCCGAATTCTACAGATTGCACCAGTCTCTTTGTGGTCTTTAAAAATCTTTTCTGAACCCAGTACAAAATTGAGGTATCTCATCATCACCATATTATTTGGGATTTTGGCGGCTTTTCCCTCATTGGTTAGTACAAAGTAAAAAGCTATCAGTTCATTATACCCCTTTTTCACTGGCTTACAAGCCCAGAAGTCGTTAAAGGAGTTGAGGGGTGTTGGTGTTCCATCAATTAATGATTCCAACTCATTTAGAGCCGCTACGATAGTAGTCTTTGCTGTACAGCTTTCTGCAATCAGGATTTCTCCAGCGTCTCTTGCTCCATACGCTGGGAGAAGGTTTATCTGTTGCTTCTCTGTAACTAGGGCTGTAGCTGCAATGTACAGTCTACGCCAGTCACGTACCTTTTGTCCAGGCTGCAGTTTTGGGATTGAGCTAGCCATCATCTTTGAGGAAGTTATGTCAAGCTTGTTTACAGTAGAAGGAAATGCGTTGAGTAGAATGAAAGGCGCTGATACGATCTCAATTACATACACAAATACATAGTACTTCCTAGATGGGAGTGATGGTTAATTATAAGGTAAAATGTATTATACTCAAATATAATATATAAAAGGCCCCTGACAATAGATCGCAGTTTCTTACGGATGTAGTGCATGTGGGCAATCCAGTTTAGCTTACTATCTATGACAACATCTAAGAATTTTGTATCCTTGACTTTAGTAATAACCTTACCATTGATGAATATTGATCTAGATTCATCTAGCAGGATAGCAAATGGTATAGTCTGTTCACAGGTGTCATCATATTCAGAGGTAGGTTTAAAATGTATGTAGCAGCATTTGGACATGTTGATATGAAATAGATTACATTCCATGTAAATCGAGACATGTTTAAGTACTAGGTTGGCTTTTTTGAATGTTGTTTCTCTAGATGGTCCTGATATGAAGATATTAGTGTCATCAGCGTAAAGTACAAATTTCACCTCACTGTCTGAAAAGCAGATCCTTAAATAATGCACTATTTCAGCAATGTACCATGCAACTAAATGCTTGCGGAGTTTGAATACTTCATACAGCAGAGTATTTCACCAACACAATAGACTGTCTACTACTGAAAATGACGATGTAGTCAATCTTTTGACTGAGACTCTTAAATCCAACCGTTTACGTAGTAAACCAGTGCAAAGTAATGCTGTTACTTGGGGAGTGATGCAAACCAGAGAAAATTCTAAGAGGGGTAAAAAAGGAAAAAAACGAAAGATCAAGAACAATGGAGTACAATCTTATGTTCCCATGACATCAAATGCTTTCTCTGATATGAATGCCTTGAAAGAGTCCTTAAAAATTCGTCTCAACTCTCAATTCAGTTCACTCTTATCTATTCAAGAGAAAGTGCTGCCCAAGTCTCTGCAAAACAGGTAAGGTGTATTTTTATGACAATGAACACTACGGGTTCATCTTGTTTGAGATTTGGTTTAAAAAACAAGAAAAGTTACCAACTATCATAGTTCTTTTTAAAAATAGGTATGATAGCTTTATTTTTATCATCTAGCTTGATTGATTCAAAGGGAGAATTAAATTCTTATGATAGCTTTAAGACCTATTTCTAATTTGGCCTATTTTTCAGAAGTATTGTTATTCAGTCAGAGACTGGAAGTGGTAAGACCCTGACGTATGCTGTACCTGTTGTCAATGCTTTGGAGAAAGGGAGACTAACTGCTGATAATCGCTGCATCGTTATTGCCCCAACAAAAGAATTATGTACTCAAATATACAAGTATGTTTAACTGTCAGAATCAAATCTGAGAAGCACCGTTTTGAAGATTCAAAACTTCCAAAATAAAAAGCAGCAACCCGACCATGTTCAATTATTTTAACATAGTATAACTTTTTATTGCTAAGCTATTTATTATTCAGTGTTTTTCTGAGTTTGGTGCCAAGAACTTCATCTGTAATACTTCTTGGGGGTGACCATTCTCGAACTGCATCCCAACAAAACAGACAGATACTAAATGATGGAACTCCGATTATTATAACTACTCCAGCATCACTAAACAGCAAATTAAAAAAAGGGGTTCTGAGGTTGGTAGTCTTTTTTTTTCAGATGATTTTAATCTTAATATTTTGTATGGCAAATAACTAAAAGAATCAAGTTTAGGTTTTGGTCAAGCAATTTGCAATTGGCCTCCTTATGTCCTTATTATATAATTTTGATAATGACTCAGGTTAGTTGACACGTCTATGCTAGTGGTGGATGAATTTGATCGGCTGTTTGGAGGAAGTGACTTTGAGGACCAAGTCAGCCATGTTCTAGCTGGTATAGCCAAAAAGAAGGTGTGGTTACAATATAATTGTTTTTGTCTTTTAAAATTTTCAATTAAACTCTCAAAATTATGAACAATAATTGAACCCAAAAATATGCTTTGAAATGTCAACTTTGGAAACTGTTTTAACATTTTTAACACGGATATTCATTCACACTTGTAATCTTTCTTTTTTCAGCGCAATTCTCGGATAAAACCACAATTCTTGATAACATCTGCAACAGTATCAGATGAGATGAAAAGTTTTGTCCAGCAATACATTCCAGACCTACTGATCATGGAGACAAGTAACGTGTCTCCTCCATCCTTAGATCACAAGTGGATTATATCACCCTTACACAGACGAACAGAAACACTGCTTCAGCTCCTCCGTAACAACTCTCATAAGCCTAACAGCTGCAAGAAGTGCATCATATTTGTTCAGAAATTGGAGATAGGAGATGACTTGTTTGAGGTAAAAAGTTGCAGCTGTTAGTGTTAGTACTTTAAATTTACATCGTCTTGCAGCTGTTAAGTGTAGAACGTTTTATTGGATATATAAGTTTGTTCACAGATTGTTCACCTAATATGTCGAAAATTAATCAATAATGATTGTACAGGTATTGAAAAATGAAGGTTTTTTTGTTGCATCAATAAATGGGGATATGTCTGCCGCCAAACGACTTGCTGTAAGTTTCTGTATAATATCTCCATTGACTAATGTCTTGCACAATGTTTTATTTAACAAGATTTTTGAGCTCTATATCATTTTGTTGTCTGATTTTATTTCTCTCAAATTAAATATACTATTTCGCACAGACTAGAAATCGTTGAAAATTTTCAAAGTAAAACGTGATTACATTAAACTTGAAAATAGCGCTAAGTGAAAGCTTAACCTGTCCGGTTACTCCACAATAAATAAGTTCCAGTCTTGAGTTGATTGTAATCACATACTCTTTCCACCAGATTTTCAGTGAGTTTAAGAAAGGAAGTTATGATATTCTTATTGCAACTGATTTGATAGCCAGAGGTATTGATATCCCAGACTGCGAGATAGTCGTACAGGTAACTGCACTTCGAGTTATTTTCTTTTAAAGTGCAGGTTGTACGATCTCGCATTAAATTTAAAGCAAGTTTCATTTAAGTTCATTACAGTCGAACCATAATTTAACGTGCTCTCATTAACCTTCTACATTTTATCATTTAACCTTGTATTTCTTTTTAATCCCTTTTTAAATTTGTTTTACCCCAGATCCAGCCTGGTGAGGATGTAGATATGTATCTACACCGCGCAGGGCGCTGTGCACGTGCAGGCAGACCTGGTACAAGTTATGTTATCGCGTGTGACGCTGATGTGAACGATAGATCGTTCTTTAATGAAGTACGTCAGCAGCTGAACGTGGATATTGTCGATGCAACTACTTTCCTACGTAAGTTTATTATTGAAAATATCACAGTGTTTCCAACCGTCATTATGGATGTTTCCATGAACTTAATCCTGTCTAAAATGTTTGACCGAAAAAGTGGAACGCTGATATAATGATATGGCCGGAAGTGAAACCTATCTAGATATGCAACGTATTGCTGTTTGAATAGTTGAATTTTGACAAACATATTGACTGTTACCTGATCCACCAACAACAATTCCTCTTGAAGCCTGCTGTTTATATTTAAATATAATGATTAATTAATTTCAGCTGAGAAGGAGAGTGGTGTTGTGTCTGTGTTAGAGAACTCGCTACATCATGTCTCAAAGAAAGACGAGCTCTCCTTTTCCATAGACATCGTCATGTCCGAGCCCCTTACCTTCTATCAGAAGCTTGTCATGGATCTGGAGCTAAGACCTGTAAACGCCGGTCCTGTGCCCGACAAAAAGTAAGCTGTTCATTTGGATTTCGAAAGTTTGGGTGGGGAATGTTTTTATCTATTATTGTTATTTAATATTTATCGTGGGAATTTTGCAAGTGTTAGTCCCCCTCCAGCCCCCTAGTTTTGTGATTGGTGGATGGTTTGCGGCTTGTAGGACCAGGCTGGTGGGCGTGGTTGTACGATATGTGGGCGTGGTTGTACGGTATGCCGTTTTTATTGCTTGAGGGTTACATTATAATATACCAAACTTCCTACTTACATGGAAGAGAATAGAAAGCACTGATTAAGTTCAACAGAAGTGTGTCATGTTTTGATAAACATGCTACACGGCTAACTTCATTTATTTATGGATGTGGCATTTTATCATATTGTTGTAATACCTGTTGTGATGGGCGGTCGTCGTACTTATTTTCAGGTTTTGATTATTACGTTTAAAAATTTCTGGTTTTTATGTTTGTATTGTGGGATGGACGGTAGTATTGTTTAGCTTGAGCAGATAATTGTTTAACCTAATTTTATTGTCGAGTCTTATCATATATAGCAGGCACTATATAATTTAGATATATTTCTATGTTCTATGTTTCAGTGTTCTAGTCTCAAGTTTTCATAATAAATCCCACATTAAAGGACCAGTTAACTGAAAAAAAAGTTATCCTCATATTTTGACAGATTGTGACAAATAGCAAACTAAGCAACGAGTCGAAATTCCTAAATCTCTAACTGCTCTCTAACGCGTGTAAATAGCGTTTGTATTATTTTGGCGATGACGTCATAAAGTCCCTCTTGCGCGCAGAGTAGCTCGTGAGACTGTATTTTACAGGTAAAAAATTGACATAATACAATCTTTTCCCCCGAATAACTCGAAAAGTTAGTAATTTAGGGTACATGTTGCTTCATAAGTTGTATATAAACATGGCCATTCTGCACAATTTGCACACATTCAAAAACCTTTAGGGCCTTCATAGCCCAATTAACCAGATACCCATAGTTTTGCATGATTTCTGGAACCGAAAATCAGTTTTTCGCCAATAACTGAAAAAGTAAGCACTTTAAGGCATATGTTTGTTCGTAAGTCATATATTAATATGCTAATTGCGGTTCTTTTGCATCCTGTCTGAAGACTCCATCACGATCATATCGAAAATGGGCTTAGCACCACGCCCAAAATGGTTTTTGGCGAATTTATCGAAAAGTAAGGATTTTAGGCCATGTGTTGCTCAATAACTCCTATATAAACATGCATATGCGGCTTCGTTCAAGCCTATTTTGAAGTCTCTACGACCTTCAGAAGCAAGGAGTCGGTTACGTTATTGGGTCAATATGGGCGTGGCCCTCCTGGGTTTTCTCCACGGTCAAAAAGATGTCTCCAAACGAAAATCGTTTAATCATAACTTCGGGAAGGTCTGTGCAAAGTTTCGTGAGTATTAGAACATTTGCAGGTTCATTTCCATAAATGTCCATAAATGACTGGACTACACAACTTTAGAGTTAACTTTAGAGAAACTCATAAGTCATTTATCTCAAATTAAGCTGTTAGTGTCCATGATCAACCTCTGGCGACAATGTTTTACGTGAAATGTTAAAATCAGGAGTAATATAAAAAAGGTATTTTTAGATTAAAGTGCTAGCTCATAGTTTTAGAATTGTATAGATTAACGTTGGTCATTTAGCCATCTAACAATCGATCGTGCCGTAATATATGGCCAGAGAATAATAGGGTCTTGGAAATTCTATAGTTGTTCAGTGGGTCGATCGACTGAACACGTTTGCACTTGGTATTTAAACTTACCAGTAGTTTATTTATGTTATGCACCGATGATAATGCAATTAGGATAAAAACTAGGTAAGCCGGAAGTCTAATTCAAAACACACCTCACACCGTACACACCTCCAATCAGTAATTTTACTATTTGGTAGACCGGGTATTTTGGCGGGAATTCTGTTCCCACGGCACTGTTCTGATAGAAGCTACTTCTACTAATGGTCCCAGAGGAACGGCCGTAAAGTAGCCAGACTTCTTGTCTCCTGTACTGGCAGACACTTGCAGATTAAAGTTAGAAATTTCGCTATGCTATAAGTATAATTGCTCTCGGAATTGAACAAACTCCTACTTATCTGTATCCTTTCTAAATTCGTTAGAGTTTCATGGACTGGGGAAAAATAATCGGTACAGTCTCCCTGCTTGTGTAATTAAGCAATGAAAACAATCCAAAATTATCACATATGACATAAGTTGTAATAGCAGAAACTTTCTAACCGTACATTCACCCGCCACTGTTCAAGAACCTATATCACTGTTTAAAATCATGACGTGAGCACTGTACATCCAATCAGCTATTCCTTTAGTTAGGATGATAGCCAAAACTATAAGGATTTTGGAGAACTAGGGTAATAGTCATAATTCTAAAATTTGAGTGAGTTACACGTGTTTTATTGACGATGATAAACATTTGTAATGTAAATTACGCCATGCAAGCGCGCACTGAGGGACTTTATGACGTCACGAGGCCACAGCTTATTATTGCAATAACACGCGTTACACGTACGCTAGAGAGTTGGTTCTTTCGGCGATACGATTCTTTACCAGTTTGTCACAGCTGATTTAAATCTTAGCCAAATTGGAGACTACAAATTTTTCAGTTAACTGGTCCTTTAACGATTTTAATCGCCCTTACAATTACATAACATTTACATATTTTCAGGATATTTGGAATGTGGTACTGCAGTCCGGTGGAAGCCTGGGCAGCCCAGTCTACGATAAAAGAGTACTTCAGATCGAACTGTCTCCCAGAACCAGAACTTGGAATGTTCAGGCACAAATTGAACAGAAAAAGTGAGCTGGATTGGAACGGGTATTTTAGTGAGATAAGAAGAGAAAAGAAGGAGGAAGAACAACTAAGATACAGAAACTTTGTGAAGCAGGAAATGGGAAAGAAGAGGATAAGACAGGGCAGATACAAGTTTAAACAACATCTACCGGGGAGATAATACTTAGTAAATCAGTTAGATTGATTACAAAAGTAGGGATGCGATCAATAAGTGAATTAGAGCTTCTAATTGAAGTATTCGAGATGGAGAAATGAAGTTACAGTCCAGAACAGCGAATATTCAACCTGATTAAAGACTCAAGATTGAAGGAGACACGGCTAACCGTATTGGTTTCTGGAAACCCTACAATGTCTTGGTTTCTAGAAACACTACAATGTCTTGGGTTTCTAGGAATTCGATAGAAATTCGATCATTATATATTTATTTTTGCAAAAGAAATCAAGTAACACGGTTAAAGTGAGTAGGACTAAGAACTATAGGAACCGGAATTATGAGTGAATCTGGATTGTGCTATCCAAATTTCCAAAAGGCTGTCGGTTGCTGCAATTTCCTTATGTAAATAAAATCTTATGCAAATAATCCTCTCATCCTATGTTAAACAAGGAGCAGTAATTTTATTACATTCGAACCTGACCAAACCGGTTAGTGTTGAGACGTCAGTTTTAAAGCAGGTTTTATGGGTTTCTTGTCCTCAATCTTGTTCCGATACGCCTGTAGCCACGTTACCTTGTCGCTTACATAGTAGCTCAGCGGTCTGGTTACATTTATGGGAAGAGGGCCAGGGTTCTGTGAGCCAAGTTTGTACTCTGCTAATTATTTAAGTTTGTGTTTGTGTTTAATGTTGAGTTAATTATTCTTAGTTTTTTACAGTTCAAGTTGTTATATTATATGAGTTGCATCAACCCTTGATTATTTTTGGTCTGATTAAACTTGTCTCATGTTGACTTTTTAACGTATGAACTGAACTGCGAATCAAATTAGGGGCGTTTTTGTTCAACATGAACAAGTCAACTCTTGGCTTGAGCAGAACGTACTCATTCATGTACACACGTACAAGTGTTTAAGCTGCATATTGTGTATGCTGTGTTGTGTCTTATTGGTCACTTCGTGGCTATAATGCCATATATTGTTCGTACCAAGTGATGCGTTCTTACCAATCGTTGGCACCGCTCTGAATTTTGATTCATATCAGGTGAATGTCTGTCTGCCTCCCTACTTTAAATGTTCAGACCTCGGTTCGGAATACAATGCTATTTCACAGTAGTTGACGTAAAATATCTCAGTATGAAGTCTATAAAGTTTTAACTTCATTTGGATAATTAGATTTCAACTGGACACAAGAACAGCTGTTCGTTATCTCTGGTATGTCTGAAAATGCCTCTGAAAGCGTCTGACGGTTTTAACTCCCATCCTCAATTCATATTTAAACTATTTCGCTTTTTGGGTCTTGTTTTTGTTTTTTGCGTGAGGGAATGATAACAATATATTCACTGAGACCTAATTAATTCAGTAATCCTCCATATCAACAATACGATATTATTCGCATTATTTGTGCAGTTCCTTGACAGGTTAGATCAACGTGACATCAGGTTCAAATTTCACAATTGAGTTGCAGGCGTGTCTCTACTCGCTTTCTCAGAGATATGACGTTTATATTCACAAGCTACTCACTTCACTGTTACTTCACAAGCTACTCACTTCACTGTTACTTCACAAGCTACTCACGTCACTGTTTCACTGCTTACAGGAGACTTAGACAATTTCTATTTTGAGAACTCTGACTCTCTAAAATCTTGTATTTAACCTCCGAGATTATAGAGGTGGTAGTACATTTTTCTGTTTTCGTTTTCCTTGCTGCGTGTTCCTTCTATCTTCAGTTGTTGATAACAAATAACGTTCTATTAAAATTGAAAACAGATAATTCTAACCAGTTTATCGCTCTTTAGGAGGCTTGTCCCAGTTACCACCCCGGATTTCTTGCTAACATCATGACGTCTAAGTAAGTAACTCAAACCAGTAAGAAACATCAAATTCTTACAGCAAATATTTATCAAGCGTCAATATAACCCACCGAGATCTGAGTTATTCACATAGTTTCTAGTAGGTCAACGAAGGGAATCATCTTTGGGGTGGATCATGTCATTTATGACATGGTGGCATACGTTGACCAGACGTATTTGGATAAGTGAGTAGTCCTCGTAATGTATTTTATGTGGTGATTTATGTAATGTACTGGCCGCTTTTCAGAGGATTACTATACGGCATGGGAAACCCCCTCCTTGACATGACAGCTGTTGTCGACGAAGCTTATCTGCAAAAGTAAGATTTCATTTGCTCAAAAAAATTGACTTTTCAACAATTCATGTTGTATTTATATATATGTTGTATTTATATATATATATTTCATGGCTGGACTTCTACACAATAAAAGAAAGCGGTTGTGATTAGATCGTCGAAAGTCTTTGCATCATTTATTTACATCAATTCTGAGAAATTATATCATTAAAGTAACTACAACAAATACGAATCATATACAATTGAGAATAAATACAAACTAAAAGCAGTGGGAAAATCTGATGAACTGAAATTTAAAAAAGAAACTGAAAGCCGTTAAAAATGTACTCTTATCTTATCTCTTATCTAAATACTGATAACTGATTCTCGGAAAATCACTTAAAATCACAACAAAAAACCTGTAAAATTAATACTAAGGTAAAAATTGTAGTATGCACGTCTCTGGAATAATGGTATAACTAAATAAAATCTACAAAATATACTAAAACTAAAACTAAGCTCCGGCAGATTTAAAAAGTATATGGTTACTATCAAGGGTGTTCATACCCCCAAACCGTTCAAGCGTTTTCAATTGGGTCTGGTAGAACCCCTCTCTAGCTTCCATAGCCTTTTCTTTGTCTGCTTTACTAATATTAGGCTCAAATACTAAAGCGTCTACTATAATGACAGAAAGGTGCTTACTAAGTGAGGAATTATAGGAGGCTATGGTACTAAAATCTAAATCATGATCAATATCTAAAAAATGGTTAACTAATTTACAACTTCTTATACCTTTCTTTATGTGACTCTTATGGTTAGAGAATCTCTTAGGGAGATTTGAGGTAGTATAACCGACATACGACTGTTTACAAGTCTTACACTCCATTAAATAAATGAGGTTATAACTCTGACAAGATATATACTTAGTTATAGGGAAAACTTGTTTAGAATGGTGACTACTAAAGTTGGAACAGGGGGACAGGAAATTTTGCTTACAAACATAGCATTTACCACAAGCATGGCACCCTGGGTCGACAGCCCCGGGAACCGCCCTTAGACTTTCGGAGTCTGGTTCCTGGATCTGACTTGCAGTTGTTTCTCTCTCATTATCACAGTTTAAAGTTCCACTGGCACGGTACTTATTGTGTACAAGCATGCCACCGATAGTTTGATTCTTTCGATGACTCACGAATACACTGTCCGCACGTACCAGCTTCTTCAGGGCCGGATCAAGGTTGAGAAGGTGCTTATACTTATGGATAATGCCCCCCATGTTGGGAAGTGCTGGATTTTGATCCATCACCATGGGTATTAAACAGGCAGTCGACTCATCCTTGTCTTTAAGGGTATACAAGTTTTTCCTATTAGCTATATCACTAAATTTGTTAAAGGCATCTTCTATAATACTGGAATGATAACCTCGGGCTAGAAGGTAACGTGTATAGACCTCTCTCTGCTCCAAGAAGTTAGTGTCTTCACTGTTGTTCTGTCTCACCCGCCTCGCCACTCCAAAAGGTATGTTTTTTACAACATGGTTCCTATGGCATGACGTGGGGATAAGGTAGCAGTGGGTGTCACTAGGTTTAGAGTAGAGTTTGGTGTGGACAACATCACCAACAGCTTACATGTTATACCGTTAAATGAAGCAATGTTGTAATCAAGAGTAATTTCTAGTGCACTAATAATGCATTCTGTACTAAACAATTGATCACCACTACTCCTTTTATTCAGGTGCTTAGTGCATTGTTGGATCCCCATATCCCTAGGAATGTTGGTAAACATGTTAGATATATCGATGGCAACATGTATTACCTCCTTTCCCAACAATATGCTAGACTCGTTCAGGCTATCAATCTTCCTCAGAAAGTGAGGGGTATCAATAATTCTATAATTCAAAGTAGCCTTCTTCAATTCATACGCAGTCAAGGCAGAAAGGTTTTCAATGTATGAACCACAGCCGGTGGTAATCATCCTCCCAGGATACAAAGGTGGTTTGTGTGCCTTGGGATTCAGGTACATGTTTCCAGGCTGGTTAAGCTCAGTACATGGAATAACCCACTCCTTGACCTTCTTGGACATACCTAATTCATCTTTAAACTCAATTGTCCAATTCGAAATTTTATCAATCAATTCTACAACTAAATCATCTACATTATTTACAATACTATATACAGATCTATCATTTAAATGTACACCTATTCGTTGAATATAATCTTTTTCACTAAGAAGGAAGAATCCTACTCCTTTATCGAATGGTCTGATAACAATGTCTTTCCAACCTTTGACTTCTTTGAGAGCTGCTCTGATGGGCGCAGCGATGTTATCTGGTGAGACGAATTTCTGAGTTGGCCTGTGGAGGTCTACTTCTGCTCTGCAGCATTTTATAAACGCCTCAAGTGCAGGGTTTTTACAAGATTCGAAAGTACGTGATGCATCAGTCTTTATAAGACAACGTTCCATGTCAGTAACTCTCTTATCTGCTTTGTTGGGTCCACATTTAAAGCTATCAAATACAACTTTAGCTCTCATTTTAGAAAACCATCTACACAAATCGTTCTCGAAGCGGCTTAGATCTGGTAGGGGAGGTGTAGGTGCAAACTTGTGAGACAAGAAAAAGACATAGAGTTGCTCTTTACTAAGCTCTTTGTCTGTAAGATTTACAACTGTTCTGGACATGTTTTCCATTGACAAGTCTTCAACCTTGGGAAGAGTACCTTTGATTAACGTCCTCTGATGTCTGTGGGATGTAGTACGATTAATCTTTTTTCTCTTCCTTCTTCTCCTCTTCTTCACAGGTTTAGCATTATCCACATATGAAGGTGCAACATAAATAGCATAGTCCTTATCTCTCTTCAACTTAGATTCATGACGCTTGGTTAGTTCAAGTTTCTCCTTGTGCATTAAATTAGATAAATGATTCTCTAAATTTTCATGATCTGATGGGGGAAGTGCAGATTTGATGCAGTTTTTGAAACTATAAAAGCTTTTACGCAAAGTCTGAGACCTGATTACTTGATTATCTATGACTAAGTCTAGCATTCTTGATTTCTGTAACTGATTAAGCGCTTTACAGGATTCTACATAAAAAGTGTCTTTAACTGCACACCTAAAATTGATTTGAGTAGCAATATGGTAACATAGTGGTCAATGATATCAACAACAACCCTATTGGTACTGATTTAGGGAAAGCAAACACAGCGAAATCTTTCTTCGAAAAACAACTAACAGAAGGAGTTGAAGCTGGCCTGCAACCTTTTACCTGCGATCCAAAACCACTTGATAACCCCATTACACCAGTTGAAGTTAAACTTGCTGCAAGTAAACTCAAATCAAACCGTGCCAGTGGTCCAGATAATCTCCAGAATGAGTTGATAAAGTACGCCCATCCAATCACTTTTGAGAAGTATGCTGAGGCAATTAACGAGTCATTTAGTGGGAACAAATACATAAGTTCGATAGGACAAGGTATTCTTACTCCTCTACAGAAGCCTGGTAAACCTAAAGGTCCCCTCACAAGCCTTAGACCACTTACACTGTTAAACGGATCGAGGAAGATGCTCACTCAAATTGCCTTAAAACGGGTCGAGAGCAGAATTGACAACTACACCATGCCATGGCAGAGTGCTTACAAGAGAGGTAGAAGCTGCTCTGACATTGTGTGGGCTCAGAGAATGCTCATATCTGTTGTGATGAGGAAGAAATGGACATTTAGCAAAATGGGTATTGATATGAGTAGAGCTTTTGATACCGTGAAAAGGGACACTATCATCAATGTTTTGAAAGATGCTGGTTGTTCGGAGGACGACATTCGCTTAGTTCAATACCTTCTATCGAATACTCTCCTTAGAGTTCGTGTTAACTCCTCACTGTCGGAAGAGTTTGAAAGTTTACTCGGAGCCTTTCAAGGTGACAGTTTATCTGGAAAGCTATTCACACTTATTCTTGCAGCAGCCTTACACCACCTCAGAGCTGTATCTGGGAGACCAAACCCACCAGTATCAGAACTAGGTTTTCCAACTGAGTGGGAATATTCAGACGATTGTGACTTTGCTGACGAGGACATCGAGAGACTGAGAATTTTCCTTCCTGCAGTGAAGGAGATTCTCAAAGACTGGAACCTCCAAGTAAATGAAAGTAAAACTGAATTCAGTACCTTCTACCTGGCGAAAAAATCTGATAAAGACACAAACGGTCAGCCATTAGCTAATAACGAACCATGGCGAAGTAACAAGTCACTAGGTTCCTTACTGTGTACTGAGAAGGACATTCAAAGAAGGAGAATCCTAGCTGAGATCGCTTTTAAGAACTTTGAAAAAGTGTGGTTGTCCGGTAAGAAAATATCCCTTGAAAGAAAGCTGAGGTTATACGATGCTCAAGTTGTATCTGTATTGATTTACAACTCAAATAGTTGGAGTCCTAAGAAAGCAACCATGGAGAAAATGGACACACTCCATCGTAGACACCTCAGATCCATTTTAAACATCAAATGGCCTAAAGGTATGATAAGCAACAAAGCATTGTATGAAAGGTGCAAAGTTGAAAAGTTATCCAAGCGTATTGAACACCAGCGGTGGAAGATGTTTGGACACATTCTCAGGAGTATGGAGAACACCCCAGCCCAAACGGCTCTCTCTTTTGCTATTGAATCAGATAATTTATTCATTGGAAGATTGGGGAGACCTAGAATGAACTTGTTATCGGTTTTAAGAAGTGATTTAAATAGTAGAAATTTGCAAATGGACAACTTGTATGAATTGAACGAAATTAGAGATATAGCTGCATGCAACAGATGTTGGGAAAATCTTTTTCAAGGGTACAGTTTACCGCATTAAGGTATTTTTAAGAATCATTTTTGTCGGTAAGATCCTGTTTTATAATAATAATAATAAGCAATACCTCTAGGGATATTACCGTGGTCTCTCGTAGTCTGTAAGTATCTCAATTGACAAGATGCCCTAACTGATCTAACTGCTAAGTTGTCCAATTTAGGCATCGGGGGACTCATAATGATAAATGTTACTGAAAACAAACTAAAATCTCATATATATATATATGTTGTTTTTATATATATAAGAACAACTTATATATAAGTTTTTCATTGAGATCAGAGATGATAATATGGTCAATAATATATCGCTCGCGATCATCGTTCATTATAACTTTTAAAACTCCCCATGTAAAGAAGAATTATCCGTTGTATTGCGTCGCTTTCCTGTTAATAAGTTCGTCAATGGCTGCTCATTAAGGATGATGATTAATCACTCTAAATCTCGAAGCTCGAGTGTTGAGTGATTTGGATGCTGATTTATTTACCGTTTAAAAAAGCATTTTCAAATATTTAGATTTTATAAGTGTGTTTTGATCAAGTTTAACCGTGCGATTATTTCACCAGGTACGATTTGCAGCCTAACAACGCTATCTTAGCTGAAGATAAACACAGGCCAATGTGAGTTATTTAGCGTTTAATATCCTCAATACAAATTTGTTTTGTACACGTTCATAATCCACAAACGAACATAACGACACCCACATAATATACAATTGACCGTAACTCCACTCTGGTACCAGATACGACGAGCTGCTACAGAACGACAACTACAAGATTAGCTACAGTCCGGGCGGGGCCACGCAGAACACTCTCAGAGTAGCCCAGTGGTACCTGCGTGAACCTGAGTCAACCTCCTTCGTGGGCTGCATTGGTGAGTAACACACACACACGAGTCATTTGGACAGTCCACACGTTTTTAATTGTCATCGTCTTCTGATTTGTGGTTTAATTCTTGGGCGTTCCCTTAACGGATATTTTCCGGTTATTTGTTATTTGTTATTTGTTATTTGTTATTTGACCCAAAAGTCTTCTAATTCTCCAGGCATAGATCCTCCCGAATTTAATGCAAATGGTAAACCTTGTTATCGTCGTGAAAATTTGATCATTTTAAACTAAAATCAAACATGTGAGATAATCTAGCTATTGTACCATCCTTCAATTAATCCTAATGCTCAGTTGGCAATGATTAGAAATATACTGTTGATTATTGTCGCCTTGTCCCTGTACTACTCCCAAAATAATTATCAAAATCCTCGGAAGTTGGTTTGAAATATTTTGCGACCATTTCCGTAATTCGGCTAATTCGACTAATCTGAAGTTGAGAGCAGACTCTCTAGCGTGCAGTACTTTACCCACTTTATTCGTTTTTATTCCTGTAATTTTGCTGTTTTAAGGCCCGTAGATGCCAACCCTATACGGGGTAAAACAATAATCTGTAATAATGATTACAACATGTTTTTATAAAATACACGTTTTTATAAATAACACGTTCCTCTCCCTCAGGCCAGGACACGTTCGGTGACAAGTTGAAAGCGTGCATGAAGAAAGAAGACATCAGGACAAGCTACCTCGTGGACCCAGAGAAACCTACCGGAGTTTGTGCTGTCCTGATTACTGGAGGAAACAGGTTTTTAGCTGTAGAAAACGGAAGATATCATTTACTACTTAGTACAACGACCGGAAACTTTTAGACAGCTCATAATTAAGTCATGTTTTCTACTGTACATCTCTAATCTGTGATCATTCACAAATATTTCTTCCTATAAATACCCCGTGTGTTTCTGAGATTTGACCAGATAAACGTATTCAGGTCACTGGTGACCCGACTAGATGCTGCTAACGAGTACAAAATCGCCCACCTGGTCCTCCCTGCCACCTGGTCTCTTGTCACTGACGCGAAATTCTACTACATCGCCGTAAGTTGTTCATTTTAATATTAATTAAGTTTGGATACATTTCATATTGTTTCTTAACAGTCAAGAGAAGTCTGTTTTATTCTTCGGGAATTACCACAAAATCTACTTTAAATTGAAAATCATCGGTCATTTGAAATATGAGACATGGTGAAGAATCAAAAGTTTGATAATGGTAATTTTCTAATCTCGTTTCACTTCAGGGGTATTTCCTGACTGTATCACCGGACAGCATGATTGAGATCGGAGAGCACGCCGTCAGCACCAACAAGTGCTTCTCAATGAACCTCAGCGCTCCATTCCTCAGCCAGTTCTTCAAGGAACCTATGAAGAAGGTTCTTCCTTACTGTGATATCGTGTTTGGTAACGAAGACGAGGCTAGAGCATTTGCCAAGGATTTCGATCTTAACACTAAAGATCTTCACGAGATTGCTAAGAAAGTGGCTAATATGCCTAAGAAGAACAGCAAGAGGTCGAGGATTGTGATCTTCACTCAGGGAGCCAGTCCCGCTGTTGTTTTCAAAGGTACAGTTTATTCGATTAATCCAAATTCGTTTAAATCGCTTCGTTGGTGTAGTTATTACTTACGGTTAAAGATCTCTAAGAACTGATTAAACTAACCATTTGTTCCCAACAGATAATCAAGCTAAGGAGTACCCAGTTCTACCTATCTCTGCTGAAAATATTGTAGATACAAACGGCGCTGGAGATGCTTTTGTTGGAGGTTTTTTTTCTTAATTTTATAACATCCATTTTAATGTTTGGCAGAATCTTTTAATATCCATTACAAAGCTTATATCTAGCGAGCGTTTGAAGACGTGCAATTAACCCTACTTTTAGAGCTCTAACAATCCTCCCCCGCCAGGTTTCCTCGCAGAGTACGTGTTAGATAAGGATATAGAAACGTGCGTAACGAACGGCATGCACGCCGCCCACATGAATCTCCAAGTGTCAGGATGCAGTCTGCCAGAGCACCAGTGAGATGGATGTCTAGCTACCGTGATACCAAGCAGTCCTGATAACCGGTGAGCTGGATATCACTTAGATCTGTGGGACCCCACTCAATCCTCAGCTCTGGCCTCTAGGACGACAGTTTCTGAAACTCTAGCTTCTAAGACTTTTATTTCTGGTGCTCCAGTATTATTTGTGTTGAAAGTACGAGGAGCGATCTAAGGTGTCATCACCGCTGGAATACTTATGTCACAGTAGCTAAATATCAGATTTAATATTATATTATTCTATCTAGAGACTATTTTGTGCTAGTTTTTATTATGTTAAGTTAGTGCCAGGGTAATTTATTCCATTTTTCCGGGTTTATTGGATGAGGTTTTACGATTTCGAAATTTGATAGATTTTGCAATTTGCATGATAATATGTATATGATTCTGGGTGTTAATTAGAACAGTTTATGGCATGTTTTGGTTCTAATTTATTTTCTCTTTAGTATATTTTAGATTATTTCCATGATATTCGAGAATATGCTGTCTGTCTTACGGCTATGATATCTAATATTGCATATTATTTTGGTCTCTGATAAAATTAACCCTCTTTATATCGAAAGTTTTAAGATTGAAATTTTAAGTCATATCGAAGTTGAACATTTTTTTCATTCAGAATTTCACTGTTCATTATTAGATAATAACTAGTTCATTTTAAAACACTGTCTTTAATTTTTGTCTTCATCAAATATTATCTGCTCAATTCTCTTTCAAAATTTGACAACAAGAGAAAAATGAAATATACGTATCCCATTGAGATACCAATGCCAATTTCCTCTTATTGAATCGAAGATATTCAATTACTAGTGTAACTAGCCTGGAATCATGACGAAATTTGAAGCCTGAAACTACCAGTAAATCTGAACACATGTTAACACGTCATGTTAACGTCATTTGAAATCTAATCCCTTTGATGTCGTCTGTTTAACAGGTAACATTATTAAATGGTTCTCTCTGTAACCGGACATACCTTACTCGGGAATATTATAGCGGGTTAATTTATGACTGGGAAAATTAATGACCGGGAAAAATATGGCGGAATGTTCCAAAACCCACCAAGCATCAAAATGTATTACTATTAGTTAATAGTTTACCTTACTCGGGAACATTATAGCGGGTTAATTTATGACTGGGAAAATTAATGACCGGGAAAAATATGGCGAATTTTCCAAAACCCAGTCATAATATTCCCTAGTAAGGTATTTCATTTTGGTAAATTATAATTCCTAATTCGCTTATGTTTCGTTATCGTTGTGGAGACGAGGTTCCCAGTAGACTGTACTGAGTGTACATAGTACAATATGTACGATATACGGCGTCATGATAACTTGATATAGCCTTCGTTGTGGTTCGCAGGGCTCCGAATGGGCTGGAGTGCAATTACCCAGAACCTCGCCCTGAAATACCTGTTTACCACATCGTGAGTTTCCACCGTCACTAAGGGGATTTCCCGTACTTCCACACTAGACAGGGTCGTTATTCTCGGGGGACATGTCCTCTAGTTTTAGAAGGAGACAAACAGCAAACTGTTCGATAAGCAGCTATTTTTACATTCCTCTGTCTTGTACCATACTTCTCCTTGCACCATGCCGCTCCTACCTCTAACTTCTAAGGAGCTGTTATCAGTACCTGATAAGCTGATAACCATGGTCGAGACGTACGTGAGCATGAGATATTACTTCACTGGAAATGTCAACGGTACTGCATTCACTTCACTGTTACAGTCTACTTGAGTCACGTTCGCTTGATAACTTGTGTGAGCGTGAAACATGATAAGATATACTGAATACAGCAGGGACAACTGTACGGTAGTGTTAAACAAGGAACTGAAACCGAGGGGTTCCGTTCAGGCCCTTCACACTTAGTTTCTGTCTAAACAGTTCTTATGTACCGTCACAATAGTGACTTTAATATATAATATGATATAATATATAATATGATATAGATTATAGGTGCGGTAAAATGTTTGCAAATAATGCGATCTCATACCTGCCTACAATTATTTTATGTGCAGCAAATTTTGAGGAAAAAAAACCGCAATTAACCTATGCAATTAGGCATTAGCCAAATTTGAAGCATTTAGGTACTCTCAGGTTGGAATATTTAACACCGTAGTATATATAAGGTTGCAACTTACAATACACGATTGTTTAGTTTAATACATCTAATAACTTACAAGGTGAGTGTATTACACCGAGTTTCCTGACAATACAAGATGTAACATTCTAGAATTAACCTCATAGAAGGTAGATAGGCAGGATGACTGAGGTTAGATGAGCTAGCGATGAGCATATTTTAGGCAGGAATTCCACGCTGTAATGTTAATATTTTTTAGATATCATTGAGCATTTAAGCAGTGATACAACGTATCTCGGGATGATCCGCAGAGTCTCGACTAGTTTCGGCTTACCGCCATCAACAGGATCGATGAATCATCTCAAATTATTTGTTATATAGTAGTGTTGAAAGTATTAAAAAGTATTAAAAGTTTTAATACTTTCAACACTACTATATAACAAATAATTTGAGATGATTCATCGATCCTGTTGATGGCGGTAAGCCGAAACTAGTCGAGACTCTGCGGATCATCCCGAGATACGTTGTATCACTGCTTATGCTCAATGATATCTAAAAAATCTTAAGATCCTAACGTATTTTATCTTGGGAGGATTGCGGCTAATTAACACCCTTGCTGGACAATCTCTCCTTTCCTTAACGTCAGCGAAAGCTTTATCACGCTGTAATGTTACAACATAACATTCCGACACTATGTGTGTATAATAAACAAAAATGCTGCAAATTGAATATCATCTAAGCGTACTAAAGTGACTCAATTTCAATTGTTAATTTCGATTGGAGATCTAGATCTAGCTTGAGGAGTTATTCATTCGCCAAGATTTCTGGGTACATTTTTTGGAGGAAAAATAGTTCTATAATATGTGGGGGGGGGGGGGGGGGGGCATCAACCTCATAAATACAGGTATTATTCCCTCCGATTTCAAAATAGGTTGTTGTTTTTTCAGTATTTTCCCCACTTATAACATAATATATTCAATTCTAAATATATTCATAGTGTTACTGTTAGCTGTTTTAAAGTGCTTTTACTACATGAGGGAGTTGATATCAAGTTAAACCCCCCCCCCCCCCCCCGGGCCCCCATATGTGTTTTTCCTGATTTTTGGAAATAGTACCTTCTTTCCGATGTTTTTGATGTTACTTCATGCAAAAATACCCTAATCACAATTATGAGTATCTCGATCTTTTCTTATTGTATACAGCATTACAAAGTGCACAATCTTCACTGAAAGAACGAATATCGGTCGATGGTGCAGAAAAGTGCGGTATTAGGTCAATAGTGCGATTCTGCACTCATCGCACTTACATGATTTTTGATTTGATTTGATTTTAACTTTTTTAAATAGTACATACACAATACAGCAATGAGAATAGAAAACAATCGACATCATGATTCATGAGGCATTACGTTGGGTGAACGTTGTAGACGATATTGTATAAATACTAAAAGCATGGGTATTGGGTAAGTGGTACAAGTTCTGGGGGTATACGTATTACAGGTAATAGTTCTTCCCCCAGACTCACTAACACACAGTGGGCCACCATGCTATATTAGGCTCAAAATTGAGTTTATCAGTTTAAGATGCATTCAAAATGATCTGATAGGAAAACTGTTTCCCTACAGAATGCAAAACCAATGTTTTTGCTTTTTGGCAGTGAAAAATAGCTCTTACTCTGATGTCTGTTCCTCAAATTAATAAATGTGATAATATAAAAGAAATCTCCAAACAACTCTCAGATAGACTTAATTTATTGGAAAAAACCTCATAGGCCAATTTTTTTAAGCCAATTTTTGACATGAGCCTGAGTTTTTGTCCCATTTTTAGGCACATTTTTGGCCTTCCAACACAGAAATAGTTGTGTTGCCGGCCTTTGCCGCCCTATTCCATAGTACCATCTGAAAGCCTAGAGGATTCCCTGCAAGATACAAGGAAAATCAATTAGGGCAAATTAGGGGCATTTTTTAAAATGCCGATTTTTTACCAATTTATTTAATTGGCTAAATCAATGTTATTTGGGGCTTATGCCGAAATATTGGCATACATATTTTTGTTATAACTCGGCCATCCTTTGTTCTTGCTTGATGAAATTTTTAAATACAAGTTTTGGAAGCGTTCAGCTACAAGTAAAATACCCCAAGACTGGTTTTGTGGCTTGTGTAAGGAATTTTGAATTTTGGGGCATTTTGGGGCATTTTGGGGCTACAAATTCAAGGAGCATAATTTAAAAATCCCCGCTTTTCTCAGTTTTTGTGTATAGTAGGGTCTTGAAATTGGTTTGGATCGTTTTTTTGTTGTTGCGCCAAAGCAGTCTAAAGAACACCTTTCAGACATATTTGGATGGTACTAACATGTCTAATATAGCCTACCCCCTATTCTGGCCCACTGTGTAACACCTGACCACCTCCATTTAAAACACACAAATTTAAAATTATCAAAATATAATGTCACCAAGATGTAACCCTTACTTAGGGACACAACAATGCGCGGCGCGGGGTTCACTTACATGTTCACTTCGTTAGGACAGATAATAACTAAAATATTTCCTCCGAACTTCTAAAGTTCCAGGCTTTGGTTCCTAATCTCGTTAAACCCTCATTATGACGTAGTGGATACCACGCAGTGGGCCAGTGGTTGTTGTCTCAACTGAGGGGCTAGTCTTATTGTCTCAGCGTCTTCCAGGGTGGCAGGGTATGAGGGTACCGCTTATCTTCCTGTCTTACATTGTGTCTGAGTTGTGTATGGGGTCAGTTGAAGGAGGTGGGTCTTGCTTTCAATCTTATTTTCATTTCCAGAATCAGTGGTCCTGATTATCAGGTGGTGCAGCTTGCCAGTGATTAATAATTACTTTACAAAGTCTGATCAGGTAATCAATTAAACGATAATTGGGATTTTTGTCATGTAATTATAGGATTGTTAGACGCAATCTTTCTTATAATAATGGTCTAGTTCGCACACTTTATAATATGGTACGTGGTTTTGGTCCGCTCAATTGTGACCCGTCTCAAATGAAGGTTTTATATTTCACATTTCAAACCATAAACCAGTTAGTAACCACATGAACCTTATTGCTGCATATCTTATCTACTTTAGGATAATATGCAATTGTTTGAGCTGTTATATTGAACAAAATATTAAGTTTCCTATTATTTGTGCCTACTGGTGTGCAGAGCCCCTTGCTGCTCATACTGTATGTGACTTTGAAATTAATCCAGCTTTATAATATTATAATGATGTAATTAATGTAATTAATGATAATATGATCTTATATATATTATGAGGTGTTCATCTCGTGTTGATTATTGTGTTATTTTGACGTTTCTTGGTAACCTATGTATACGTTAACCTGTTTAAGCTTCAATTACGATAGAGTTGCAGTATCTTTCTTATTGGTCTACATTCACATAATATCTTTTTTTTATTTCTTTGCAGAGAAATGATATTTGGACTTGTTCACCCTCTGTTGGATATCACAGCTATTGTTGATCAGGAGTACCTGGACAGGTATATACAGTGTAAATAGTTTAGACAGTGTAGAATTATGTACACTATACGAAACTGCCAGCTTTTTATTTTATGTTTTTCTCCATTTATTACCGCCTCTCTCAGAGACCCGAACTAGTATTGCCCACAAACACTGATAATTTATTTTGATGACATGAAACCATGTTCTTTTAGATACGGCTTGAAGGAAAATGATGGAATCTTAGCTCAAGAGAAACACAAAGAAATGTGAGCATTCTGACTCATGTAAAATATCTAAAATTTTCCGTTTCGTGAAATTTGATTTATGACTTGGTACGGTAATCAGTATTGACTAAATTTAGCATTCACATTTAAAATTCTTGATCATACCTTCACTTTGCTTTAATTAACTAATAATAAGTTAGTTACAAAAACAGTAATTTGGCCTCAACTTAGTTGGAACTGTCAAGATTAAAAACCTCCAAGATATGCAGAGTTATTGAACGGTTGTCGGTATAAAGTGAAGAAAATACCTGGAGGAGCGACACAGAATGCCTTACGAATAGCACAGTGGTACTTGAAAAAAAAACATGCAACCACTATTGTCGGATGCATTGGTTTGTTTTTATAGTATGCAATAAGATTTCATGCAATATTTGTCGTTTTAATACCAAGCTGTACTATACACTATACAGTGGTAAACCTAAACACAAAATCAAAAATAGAACTAGAAATTAACTACATTTTGTCGCATCATCATCTTCTGATCAAAGGTTATCTTGATATTATCCTATAACATAATATTCTCTTATGAAGGTGGTGACAAAGTAGGAGAGGACATGAGAGAACAGCTAGAACGAGAAGGCTGCAGAACAGAGTACATGGTGGACCCTGAAGCTACAACAGGATTATGTGCTGTGCTAATATCATCAGGGTCTAACTCCAGATCTCTGGTGACCAGGTTAGACGCTGCTAACCTCTACAAACACAGTCACCTGGTGTCTGATAGCGTGTGGAGATGTTTGGAGGAGTCTTCTTTCTTCTACATGTCGGTCAGTGGTCATTCATCTCGAGAATTTGTTTTACCCGCCGTACATTTTATGAAAATTTGGTATTGAAATTATCTTGTTATCCAGAGGATTAGTTATTAGAATTTGATTCTTAAACTTCTAATTGAGGTGCAGTGGATTTAAATTGTTTGAGCTGTATTAGCATTTTTGGATTCACGTACTCTAGTTCGACACGCACTTTAGTTCGACAACTTTAGTTCACCCCTGTCGAACTTCGGTACGTGTCGAACTAAAGTCCAGATAGCCTACTTTAGTTCGTACTCTAGTTGATCGACAAATAGTTTCTGTATGTGATCCAATGGCTATCACTGGGTTCAATGGCAGATGAACCCAGTGAGTATTGGGTACTCGGTTACTAGTCGTTTGTGATAATATAAAGTGTGGTATATGGTAGATATTTATATAGCGTACTCTACTGCAATCTAGATATAATATATATAAGTTATAACGGAGTACGAGTTACCACGATAGTCTATTATCTCTCCGCTAAGTCTACAATTCCGCTAACTAACAATTTAGTCTGAGGTCAATTGAATGGGACCTTTACTGATAGTTGAAATTCGACATATGACGTCATCTAGCGTCATCTAGCGTCATCTAGCGTGAAATATCGCCAGATGATGATAGATGACGCTAGATGACGCTAGATGACGCTAGATGACGCCAATTAGCGACATTGTCGCTAAGTGCACGGCACCTTTCGAATGTCGCTATCTAGCGCTATCTAGCGCTATCTAGCGCTATATGACGCTATATGACGCTATATGACGCTAGATGACGCTAGATGACGCTAGATGACGCTAAGCACGCAGCACTGACGCCAGGCGACAGATAGCGCTATTTTCATAAAATTTCCGCCTTTTTTTTTGCGACATCTAGCGCTATCTAGCGCTATCTAACGCTATATGTCGCAACGACATCTGACGCAGCGCTATCTAGCGCTATCTAGCGGAGAATGTCGGTCTGTGACAGTTTACGCTAGATAGCGCTATCTAGCGCTAGATATCGTGGCGACAGCTAGCGCTAGATAGCGCGGCGTCATCTAGCGCTATCTAGCGTAAACTAGCGCTAGCTAATGAAGAATGTCGGTTTGCGACAGTCCACGCTAGATAGCGCTATCTAGCGCTAGATATCGTGGCGACAGCTAGCGCTAGATAGCGCTAGATAGCGCTATCTAGCGTAAACTAGCGCTAGCTAATGAAGAATTTCGGTTTGCGACAGTCCACGCTAGATAGCGCTATCTAGCGCTATCTAGCGTGGCGACAGCTAGCGCTAGATAGCGCGGCGCCATCTAGCGCTATCTAGCGTAAACTAGCGCTAGCTAATGAATAATGTCGGTTTGCGACAGTCCACGCAGTACGCGTAGACACATGGCTATCATGTCACATGTGAATCCAAACCCTCACCCCAAAGCTATCAAAGTTATCTAGCCTTAATTGACGATGTCAATTCATCGCAGCTCGGCGAGGCACAGAAGCGCATTTCGCAGATCTAGCGAGAAGCATAATTGGATGCGCGGCGCGGCACAGTAACGCTTATAGCTTAATTTGCAGAATAACTTGCAATTTAGTAACGTATAATATGTGCTAAATTTTGTACGAACAAGTAAATTATTTGATCATTGTTAATGGACTAGCCCGAAGCGACGTGCGCTACTTCGTACTTCTTGGCTTGGACTAATAGTTTGAGAAAAAGCGGCGCGTGATAGAAAATCAATGTTTTGATGGTTTGGCGAATGTTGACGATGTCATAGTCATACCTTATACCTTTCGTCTTTCCAGTTGGAGGTGCACGATAAAAATAAAGTTGCTCGGATTTTCAAAATTTTTGTTCACATTTTATGGAGAGTGTGAGCCTTTTTACAATATAAATTTTTATCATACGTTTTTGGAATCATCAGTGACTTTCGCATAGGTGCCAAAATTGGTGATGCGTGGCTTTGCGGGAGCAAAAGTTAATCTAAAACTTGCGTACTTTATCGAAATTCGAGGATTTTTGACGTATTATTCGGATATATTTTTGGTTCCTTGAATGAGATCATTCTGAAAATTTGTGAATCAAAAAACCTTCCAATAGGGCTTTCACAACTGTCCGAAAATTTAGTGGATTTTGGAGTTGATATAATAATTGATATTGACGATGTTTCACCTAACCATGTGCTTGCTTTCGCGCCACTTAATTCGGGCGCGCTTGTTTCAGAGTTCAAGTCCACGAACCCTAATGTGAAGGTTCGTGCGCGCGCGCGCAGTGCTGACAACAGCGTCTATGAGTCAGGAACCTCAAGAACAGCACTCCCCTCTTATTTTGAAGAGGTAAGAATATAAAAAAACAGTCGTTACTAATTCGAAGCTCAAATATCCATTTCAAGCGTTTTGACCTTCCTATTGCAGATAAGTTATTCGTAAAAATTAATCATAATTTTTCAGTTCATCTGGAAAAGAAAATTCAAGGACGAAGACCCTATGGCATCATTGTTGAAAACCATCAACTACGTCTTCCCCACACAATAAAGGATAAATCAACGCATCAAGCTTTGCACTTACTTGAAGATATAGCTCATATCGAAGCAATTCAAAGAAATGAAATAACAAGCCAAGATATTAATTGTATACTGTTTAGATATGTTTTTCAAGCACTTACTTCGTTTTTTTTTGTTAGGCACCCACTGATCTTAGATCTAATTGGTTGTGACTTATATCTGTGATTAAAGAGGTGATACGCTTGTCTGTTGTCGTGTTAAGTACATACTTCATGACCAATATATTAAAGACTTCACCTGTTACTTCTAATATATCAAAATACACGCGCATGCACTACTGATTGTACAAAAAACCCCCGCAGGCGCAAGCAACCCTTGCTGCAAACGTCTTTTCCTCGTTGTCGTGGTAAAGTGTGACGAACGGAAATTTGATAGATTGAAAGCCCCCCCCCCCCCCCCCCGCAATAGGGGATGGACTAATTTATTGTCCGCGTCATAATATCAATCAGTTTAAAAACACCTCGCCGGGCACTTTAAAAAAACTCTATCAAGGTTACTGGGCGGCGCTCAGCCTGTCATTCCGCCGAATCTTTATTTTATGTTTATGAACATAATCATATATCGTACCCAAGAGTTTTCAGTTTACGAACTACGCTTGTAGCGCGATGCGTTACTGTGCCGCGCCGCGCACTCAATAAGGCTTTCACAGATCGGCGAGATGCGCTACTGTCAACTGTGTCGCGCCGCGCATCCAAAAATGCTTCTCGGCATCTAATAATGCTTTTCGGCGAGATGATATGCACCACTGAGCTGTGAAAGATTGGCATCATGAATCAACGATGTTAGTTACTTGTATAAATTTCGTCGAAATCTAGTACGTGCCGCTTTTTTCCGATCTTGTAGGTTTACAACCTACCAGGACGCGCGCCGAGTTGGACTCGTCGACGGTCCTAATATATGGAACAAAGATTTTACGAGTATCACCCGTTAATTCCGATCCCGAAATGTTAAGGGTCGACGGTCGTTTACATATAACGTAATCAGCTGAGGAGGTTGGGGTTTCCAAATGATTATTGATTACGCTAGTGTAATATTGACATAATAGCTATGGTAAAACTGATTACGGAGTATGTGAACGACCCCTCATTGTTAGTAATCAGTTCCATACATTGATTGACGATGACAATCCATCGAGATCGTTGCTCCATCGACGACGATCGATCGACGACGATCGATTCAATGCGAAGCAAAAATGCTAGTTTGCGCGGCGTGTCGAAGCGGCGAAGTCCTCCAATTCCATACATAGCTATTAAGCTATCAGTATTATGTCACAATCACACTAGTAAGCGTAATAATTTGAAAAACCCCGGCCGGCGGCATCAGGCCCCTTATATAATTATAATATGTAAACGACCCCTTGATTAAGCGATATTTAATATTTTGTTCCACTCAGCCGAATATTTAATAAATCGAGTGTAATAGTTGGGTGACTTCGACGCGCGCGCAAGCTTATAGTTATATCATTCTCACTTAAATTATAATTAATTTTCATACACAGTAAAAATTAATTTTCATACAAAATAAAAATAACAAAAAAGATTGGGTGGGGAAAGACAGGCTGCACACACACACACACACACACACACACACACACACACACACACACACACACACACACACACACACACACACACACACACACACACACACACACACACACACACACACACACACACACACACACACACACACACACACACACATACACAGGGTTAGGGTTACTGTTACTGTGATAGGATATGATATCTAGCGCTATATGACGCAACGACATCTGACGCAGCAACATATAGCGCTAGATAGCGACATCTAGCGCTAAATAGCCTGGACTGACACGACCCGAAATTCTTCGCTATTTAGCGCTATCTAACGCTATTTAGCGCTATCTAACGCCAGATAGCGCTATCTAGCGCTATATGTCGCAACAACATCTGACGCTATATAGCGCTATCTGGCGCTATATAGCGCTAGATAGCGTGAACTGTCGTAAACTGACCTATACCGCTATCCAGCGCTTGATGTCGCCTGCGTCAGATGTCGTCGCGTCAGATGTCGTCAGATGTCGCTAGATGGCGTCAGATAGCGTCAGATAGCGTCAGATGTCGCGGCAACATATAACGCTAGATGACGCTAGATGACGCCAAATAGCGCTATCTAGCGCTATATGTCGCAACAACATCTGACGCTATATAGCGCTATCTGGCGATATATAGCGCTAGATAGCGTGAACTGTCGTAAACTGACCTATCCCGCTATCCAGCGCTTGATGTCGCCTGCGTCAGATGTCGTCGCGTCAGATGTCGTCAGATGTCGCTAGATGGCGTCAGATAGCGTCAGATAGCGTCAGATGTCGCGGCAACATATAACGCTAGATGACGCTAGATGTCGTCCCTAGAATTTTTATGAAAATAGCGCTATCTGTCGCCTGGCGTCAGTGCTGCGTGCTTAGCGTCATCTAGCGTCATCTAGCGTCATCTAGCGTCATATAGCGTCATATAGCGCTAGATAGCGCTAGATAGCGCTAGATAGCGCTAGATAGCGCTAGATAGCGACATTCGAAAGGTGCCGTGCACTTAGCGACAATGTCGCTAATTGGCGTCATCTAGCGTCATCTAGCGTCATCTAGCGTCATCTATCATCATCTGGCGATATTTCACGCTAGATGACGCTAGATGACGCTAGATGACGTCATATGTCGAATTTCAACTATCAGTAAAGGTCCATTGAATGTTCATAGCTATGGATTATAAAGATTATATTCACACATAGTTGAATAGCATGAGACAAGTGGAAACAAACAAACGAATAGATTTCAAGCTCGTAAAGGATCTTTGCTTGAGATCGGAGATTTCAAAACTCTAGTTCGACAGTCGAAGTTCCCTTGTCGAACTTTAGTACGTGTCGAACTTAAGTCCAGGTAGCTGGTAGCGCACTTTAGTTCGACAGAGTCGAACTTTTGAAGATTGAAAATGTTATGGGTAAATGTATTAGTTTTGTTTGCTTTCAGGGTTTCATGCTGAACTTCTCGTCTGACACGATGGTTGTTATTGGTGAACATGCTGTGGAGAAGAACAAGTGCTTCATGTTAAACCTCAGCGCCCCGTATCTCAGCTCTCTTTTCAAGGTTCATATTTGGATATGCCTATCATTGATATCTGCAAGCTGTACTAAAAGTATGACAAGCTGCATGTTGTTGATTACATGGAGATTCTCGTGCTGAATAATCTGTTTTTGAGCTTGATCAATGATCAATGTTTTTTTCAAAAAAAGCTGCACATTTTAAGCGCTATCTTTTTTGCACTTGCTAAACAGATTCGTTATTTTGTGTTTGAGTATGCGAGCCTTATTTTAGTCCTAATTCATCAGATATGATACGCCACATGTCAGATATTGTACTGTGTTAAAATATGACATATAAATAATAATATGACAAAATGCATAAGAAAGAAAATGTGCAACAAACTGAACACTGATACTTGCCTGGAGGACATGAATATCTCATTTTTTATTCATTCTTATTCTTACTTTTGCTGGAGCTGTGATAACCAAGCTGACGGCTGATGTAGCATGATGACAACAGCACTTTTTGAAGCATGAAAGCACTAACTCACCCAAAGGAACCTATGCAGAAAGTTCTCCCCTACTGCGATATCATTGTGGGGAATAGCGACGAAGCGGCTACCCTTGCTAAAAACTTTGAGTTCAATACAACAGAGTTACATGATATGATACGAATGCTTGCAGACATGCCCAAGGTGAATGAGAAGAGGAAAAGAATCGTGCTTATCACTCAACAAGAAGACCCTGTCTTAGTCTATTCAGGTTGGTGTAAAGTTACTTTGGCAGAATTTGATTGATTGTGAGAAATCGTACCATCAGGTTTTATCATATTTACGAATTGCCTGCAACTTGTTATTACAATAATATATACATTATACAAGGCCAAGGGCAGGCCAAAATTAAATTCAAAGTTAATTTTAGTGACCGGCTGACTGTCTTAATTTCATGACGTTCAGAGGGTAAAACGACTGAGTATCCAGTCCTTCCCATATCCCCGGAGGATATAGTCGATACAAACGGTGCTGGTGATGGATTCGTTGGAGGTTAGTTCGTATTAGTTCTGTGGTAGCTGAAATATGTGATAAAATAGCTCATACATCTTGAATAGTGTAGACTTCGTCGCTGCAGTGCTCCATTATTTCAAAAGAATTTCTATGAGTTCCTGACTGTGTAATGATGACCCTATTTTTCAGGATTTCTCGCAAGTTACGCTCTTAACAAGCCCTTAGAGGATTGTGTACGGAATGGAATTGTAGCTGCTCATATGATAATACAAGTCTGTGGATGTACTCTTCCTATTAGAGACTAAAAGAGACCATCTTAGGATTCAAATTTCCTTCTTTCTAATGCATGCATCATACCAGATTGTTAGAGCTAGTTCTTAGATAAGGTTAATTGTTCTGCAGTGTTGGTAGAGTTAAAACAATTTATGATTGTGAAGTTTTGTTACTTTAATATTTGGGCAGCAAGCCTGATAAACAGATTTATTAATATCGAAAAACTGAAAAATGGGGTCCAGACTCCAGCAGAGACATATTTTTTTAATCTTAATGTTATAATTTGAATTGCCACAACCGATTTTTACTGTAAGTTACTGTAATTGTTTTGTTATCGATCACATATTTCCGTTTCCTTTTGAAATTGTTATTTCACTTTGAAGTTCTTGTTACTAAGTACAATAACTACCAAAATAAAATGAATACGGCTTTGTTCTTAACAGATATACCCAATATTTTAAATAAAACTATTAACAATAATGAATGGTTATATCTGACCAGAAGAATCATCTCCCTTATATAATATTTTAGTAAGTTAGTAGAGGCTGCACCATGTTTTAGATTGATACGTAAATAAAACGGTTACCAAGCTATACTAATACTATGTATTAAGTATAAAAATTATGCAGCCGTTTGGCTATAATTAATTAATTAATTAATTAACTACCTCTCTAATTACATAACAGCTCACGTAAATAATTGCTATAATTTATAATAGAAAGTGACTATAAAAAAGTCACATATTATCGCATAATCGCCTCTCAATTAAGAGGTATAAGGAGACTTTATTCCCGTTCGTGTATAGAGCGGTATAAAGCGCAGTCAATGTAAAACTTGACAAATGTTTTATAGTGCTCCGTTCTTTGTGATATATAATGTAGTCTTGCTGCATCTGGTGAATTAATTACGCAAATTTAACGCAACTGTGGGCCGTAAACTACGTAATATTATGTAGTAACTACGTAATATTATGTAGTAACTACATAATATCTAGAACTATAAATAATATATAATGTGCTACATTATATTCACTACACAGTGCATTCCGCATCAAAAGCTGGGTTTTATAGTTTATCAGTCTATCGTGAGCTGTGAGACTTCATTAGACCCCTGAAATGCCCCCTGGCCGTTAATACAATATAACACTATACACAAGTGGATTTTAATGTATTGTGTATAAAGTTGTATCTTGCGCATTTCCATGTTGACACCCGATACTAAGTCCACATAACTTCTTAGTGCTAGTTTAACAGGTTTTTGGCTTAATAGCTTTATTCGCTTCGTATACGTGTATACATTTCTTGTTCGCTTTTGAATCTAATTTTCCTGTTACTGTATTTACGAGCACATTATATGAACCTAATTACTGGCATGGCGGGGAGGTTATGTTAACCTATCAGACTGTAGAAATACCTCATAGAACTCAACAAGTGCCAGATGGTAAAACATGTTTTTAATGGCCTGAATCGTAGACCTGTAGACGACTTGTTATAAAATGGTTATTTCAGCGGGAATTTACATCACCATCTCCCAACTGAAACCGCTAGTCAGATCTGTTATTCTTACAGGAGATTTTCTTTCAAACTGTTCCCAGATAATATTATATTTGTCATTTGTTTTAGTGATAATTCATGCCAAAATTTAATACATGGTGCTGTACTCGCACTAATATTCCATACATTTCCTTACAATATATAAATGGCTCAAATTAAAATCTATTGTTTGGTAGAATCATTGTTTGATATAGCGATAATTAAGCCAAGAAAGAGAGATAGTTAGCCATTAACCAACATGTAGTCTCGTGATGTGGTCTGTTTTATTGTTCTTCTCAACTTGTATATTCTCCCTTAGTGTACTGAAATCTGCTGTTTCTTGGTTCAAATATATTTGTTGTGCTATACATTCAATATTAATGTACCCGTTACTTGGTGTAATAATTTGCCACTCCAGCAAATTGATCGCTCAGCTTTACAAGCTAAACTAAAATGAAATTTACAGAATGACTTGAAACCACCACGCAGCTACCTCATGAGAGAATGTATTCAGAAAAAGAGACCCTTTCCAAACGTAACTACATCTCTGTAGACCACGCTGTAGAACATGCCGGGTTCGGTCTGGCCCAGATCAAATACATGCTGGCAGCATGTGTGGTCTTCTTCACCGAAGTACAGTTTATCCATCTGGGCAGTTTAACCCTGCCCAGCATCAGCTGTGAGTGGAATTTGGAGAAGTGGCAGATTCTCATCCTGCTAATAAGTGCATCAGTTACCAGGACTATTGGCAGTTTTGTGGGCGGGTCTCTCTCAGATAAATACGGTCGAAAAAACAACGTTCTGATAGGGTTGTTCTGCATGATCGTGTTTGGGCTTGCAGCGGTGCTCCAGACTAACTTTTACATATTTCTAACATTCCGCGCCTCCTCCTTCTTCTTCCTGCACTGTATCACCCCCTCAGCTCTGTGCATTGTACTGGAGATAAGCCCCCGGAGGATGCGCTTCCTTGCTAAGATGGTACTGGCAGTAGCTGGACAGTTGGGAGCAACATGTTCCTCTCTGCTGGCTATGTACTATCTTAACTCACTGGGGTGGAGGGACTTGTCCTTCTATATGATCATGCCTTGTTTCCTTCCTCTTCTTATCTTCTTCTTCCTCTCTGATTCTCCTCGTTATCTATTCCTGTCTGGTGATTACAATGGAGGTAGAAAAGCGATGAAGCAGATTTACAGGATGAACGGGAAGCAGGATGTGAGCCATTTGATAAGGAATGTGAAGGATCAGGAAAGGGGAAATGTTAAACAGATGTTTGCACCAGAGTTTGAGCACACTACTTGGATGATTCTGGGAGTCATTACTGTTAAAAACTTGGTGGTTTCTATCATGCATACTGCCATGCCTTACATGCTTCAGGTAAATAAAATATACATTTGTTTTCAGTACATCAAAGGATAAACCCCATTTTAGTTAAGATTTTGCTGAATATCGGTTCGTGTCATTGTTTTACTGTCTTATGTCAGATGAAAATCGCAAATTATTTGTTAAAAAAATCTCTGAATAAACAATTAAAATTGAAAAACTATTCCAGGGCGACGTTTGTAGTACAGATCCAAACAATAACACTATGTCGAACGAGAAGGAGAACTGCCGAGGGTTGACCTCCAAAACACTTTACAGCCTAACAAAAGGTCACATCCTGGGTATAGTCATCACAGTGGTCTCCCTCTCCATGTCTCAGGTGGTAGGGAGGCGACGCTCTTCCATAACCTGCTATATCTTCGCAGCTGGAGCTATGATATCTAATATCTGGTGTCAGGGAAAAGAGGCCTTTATACTTAAAATCACCACAGCAAGTGCCCTGATTCACGGTGGGTCTGCTATCATAAACCTGTTTATCCAGGAGATATACCCGACCTCGATCAGAGCCATGACAACTGGATTCTTCTTCTCGTTAGGACATCTCATCAGTACTGCCTCTCCCTACGTGTCAATATATCTTGTTCTCGGTCATGAGATCCATTTCTTTACTTTTGGGGGACTACTGTTTATAGTGTGTGCCTTTATGTTACTCCGTATTAAGCATGAGGGTAAGGACGCTCCTTTGCAGGAAACAACCAGATACAATACGTTACAGTCTGATTTGGATTGGGGTCTTGAGGAACTTGACTACGATTCTGATTAACTTTTCTTGGGATTTTTAATGATTTTCTTGATATGTGTGTGACATTTGATAATTGTGACTAATCTTAAATTGTTTTTGACTTATCACTACCAGTTTTTTTTATTAACTATGCATTCTTAAATTTCTACCTATATGTGGAATAGAGCATGTAATAGTGTGTACTGTGTAATCACCAAAACGTGTAACTATGTAATTTGTTTGTAGATATTTGTAGCATTTTTTTTTCATATGAATTTGTCGTGGTTTAATAAATTTTGAACTGGATCATTGTGTTTCATTGTTTACATGAACAAATAATTTCTGCAGGCTCAACAAATAAGATAAACCCATGACTTCTTTTCACCTCGAAATATCGCATATATTTTAATGGTCGAAATCAAACTTATGCTTATGCGTGTGGAACAATTTGTTACAGAAGAATTCTATTCAAATCGCACTAACACACATAGGATGTCCGTTTAATCAACAAATTCTACGAGTTATGTAATAGTGAATGTTAAAACAGTAGAGCATAGTGTGATGTTGATCAGATGATACTTTATTGAGTAGTAGTAGTAGTAGTAGTGTTGGTTTATATTGCGAGTGTCGCGTCAATATCTCTGTTAAGTTACTCAGCAGAGTAGGCAAAATACCAGCGCAAAAAGATTGATCTATCCATTCACCCTTTCCGACTTATCAGATGAACTAGAATTTTGTACTACTGCATTTTAGACAATTTAGACATGCATGTTATAAATTTGGAATAAAATTAGCTTATGTCTCATCCTTGGCACCTGCATTGCTGTTCATGAAGCAAACAGTTAACTCTTTCTTCCTTGTGATTCTAATATAATGTATCTTTACAGCCATGCTGTTATCCCACAATGTTAACTACTAGATTTATTATCAGATCACTTCACTGCTGTAAGTATTTTAATGTATTTCCCAAATCTCATATTTGTTTTCCACGAAATTTTAATCTGTCATTGAGACAGCAAGTCATCGAGACAGCAAGTCATCGAGACAGCAAGTCATTGAGACAGCAAGTCATTGAGACAGCAAGTCATTGAGACAGCAAGTCATTGAGACAGCAAGTCATTGAGACAGCAAGTCATTGAGACAGCAAGTCATTGAGACAGCAAGTCATTGAAACAGCAAGTCATTGAGACAGCAAGTCAGATCCTGCTTAACACCAACAAGCTTACAAAAGTTGAACAGCTCACAATTGTTTTAAATTTCAGTGTCCAAGAAACCGTTCCATTCTTTACCTTCATTCCACGACCATCGTAAAATGAAAGTAAGCTTAACAGGTTTAAGTTTTAATAACAAGTTACGCATATCACTGAGGAGTGATTTTCACCATATTGAATGTGTATGAAGCCGACCTCTAAAAATCATTAAATTTTGTGCTTGATCCTGTGAACCGTTTAAAAGAACATTTATTAAATTCCCTTTGAATAACCGCATTTTTACAGGTGGACTTGATTCCACTATTGGAAGACAACTATGGATATCTTATAATTGACGAGTCTACAAACGGTAAGATGTTATTTTAATCATTTGACTACTCGGAAAGTTATCTTTACTTAGTGCCGCCCACTTGCTTTGTACAAGCCCGACTTTCTCGCCTTCTCAGCCTTTTGTCAATCATGGGGTTCCGTTTGCGTTTTCCTCTACCCTAATTTTCTTTCCAATGGATTTTTTCTTGAGCATTTGGGACTGATGTCACTAAGATTCAGCTTCCTACACGCATTAAATTAGGAAAAACGCGGCAACGGATTGCCAATGCGGTCGCACATATTGCGTGTTGTTTCGGGAACGCGCCATAAGAATTCGATGATAGATTTGCTTTTTTCAGCATCGGCTTAAATAGCGTGGTTTTTAATTTTTGCGCACAGCACGTTTTTGTACTGCATACATGCATGTCTTTCTCATCCAGTCTGTTTGTTTAATTGAAAATATGTGGTTCTAACATCTTGTACCTTTATCAGTTGGAGCTGTCGTGGACCCAGTGACTCCAAACACTGTGCTAAAGGCAATCTCAGATGCTGGAGTCAAAGTCGAACAAGTTTTAACAACACATCATCATTGGGATCATGCAGGTTGGAGAGGTGTTACTAAATGAGTAATAACATCTTTCTTAATGGTTAATGTTGTTGCAAGTTATCTCAAAAAAGTTATATATTTTTTACATATTTTTTAAATACGAGCTTTTCTGATTGGATTCACGTACTCTAGTTCGACACGCACTACAGTTCGCCAGATATCACCCCTGTCGAACTAGAGATTTCGACAAATTTCAAAACTCTAGTTCGACAGTCGAAGTTCTCTTGTCGAACTTGAGTACGTGTACCTTCTGATTGCAGGAGGCAACGAAGAGCTGAACACCAAGGCACCTGGTATGACATTTTACGGAGGTGACGACAGAATAGGGGCTCTGAACAAGACAGTGTCACACAATGATACCTTTAATATTGGTTCAATGAAAGTTACGTGTTTTGAGACTCCCTGCCATACCTCAGGACACATCTGTTATCTAGTTGAAGGAGAAGGGGCTGATCCAGCAGTATTTACAGGTAACGTAACGGTTTTTACATGGCGTTTCTGGTAGTGCTGCATGCAATGACCGTTTAAAAAGTTTTAGAAATTTTACTTTATGATAACTTATACTTACTGATAATTAGATCAAGATTGGATAATTATAACTTAATTTCCATTTTCAGGAGATACCCTATTCGCAGCTGGATGTGGACGTTTCTTCGAAGGAACAGCACCCCAAATGTACCGAGCTCTGATAGAAATCCTCAGCTCCCTCCCCGATAACACTCGTGTGTACTGTGGACACGAGTATACAGCTCAGAACCTCAAGTTCGCTAAACACGTGGAACCTGACAACCTAGCAGTTCTGGGAATGATTGAGGAGGTGAGTCCTCCGTCTTTTAGTTTGTTTGTTTGTTGTTTGTCAATACTTCAATACAGGTCGACTACCATAATATGTGAAAGAATCATAAAATGAGAGTGATAAGATCAAATAAAATTATAATCTGATATTACGTGATTTTTATTCAGGTTGCTAAAAAACGTGAAGCTGGGGAACCTACTATACCGACAACTATTGGACAGGAGAAAACTTTCAACCCATTTATGAGAGTAAAAGAGAGTGGGGTCCAGAAGTTTGCAGGATGCTCTGATCCTGTCGAGGTTATGAAAGTAATCAGGTCGGCTAAAGATAAGTTCCGGGGTTAAATTTTAAAGAAATTTCTTTCATAAGACTGTGCCAAGAGTCTTGACGAGCTTAATTTATTATGATTTTGTAAACATTCTATTCAGTTACATTTAAGATAGATTTTTATGTGTGACGTGTTATCTACAATCGTTTTACTGCTAAAATATCTTTACTCGTAAATTCAATGTTGATACTTTCCCACTAAAATGTTTGCTGTCATGTCCGATTAAAACTCATCTTATTTCTAACACCAGTCCGCACAATCTAGGTGTATGTTGACATCAGTGGACAGTTACACACTAACACTCTGCGAACATCTCTACACATTCGAGGTTATTGGTAGTACTGTTTTTATCAGAAACAACACCCCACTATCTTGGAAAGGGCCATGTGATATCAGATCTATTAATGCAGTCTACAACAGCACGTCTCTTATTCACGTCAAGTTGACCAATGACACTAGTTATGTTCTTAATCTAGAAAAGGCTCAATTGAAAGAGCTGCTGAAACTATCCCTCTGCCCTGCTGCTGTTTATAGTTCACCTGATTTTCTGATACACCACGACAATAAATCATGTTATCTCTATCATCTGAGATCGGGCAAGCTATCAGTGAAGCTCAATCACCAACTAATAGGCTATGACTTCAGGACTAAATCTTACATTTTCAAATCTGCAGACGCAGCTCACGCTTATCTAAAGGACTCTCTGATATTGAAACCCTACAACAACCCCTGTCTAGACTCCGTTACATCCCTACCAATATCCTGGGTAACTGTAATATCCGCTCACTCTCTGATCCTAGGAACATCTCTCCGCCGAGTCATGTATGTATACGACGGTATTATAAAATCTCACTTCAGACTACCCCACTTAATAGAAGACATTAACCCTACGAGCGACATCCAGATCAGAGTATCAGGCAGCTGTGTCAGTACAGTTCTGACTTTGCCTGTGTTGGGACTAGTCAGGACTACCGAGCAAGAGGACAGTGGTGATGTGAGCGGTGCTATGCAGCAGTTAGTAGTTTCCTGTGATAACCACATTAGAAAACAGCTGGTGGGTCTGAACAGATTACACTCTCGACATGAAAAGAAAGTTGACTTCTTGGCGGAAATTTGGAATAAGTTGTTTAATTTACATAATGTGGATGGAATTGTACAAGATTTTAGTGCTGATCGTGGGTCCAAGAAAAGAAAAATCGAGAATTCTAATTCTTCAGATTTGCATGCTGCTCAGTTGCCCTTTCAGATACCGATAAGTCCAAATACCTCCACCGAGATATCTATTTTTCTAGAGTCAGACCGCACAATCTCAGCTTATTGTACAGATGCATCCAAACCTCTACTTGGCACCTGCAATGGTATTCCGTTTGATTACTCTGAGTGTATCACTTTGCCAAGAAGTTTACAGTTTGGGAGAGGGACTAAATATGATGTTAGATTAACACCTGAATTCAGGGAAAATCTTCGCAGGATGTTCGCCAAAGCGTTAGTCTCTGGCCAAGACGATCTGATGGTCGATACTCTGGCTCATTTAACTAAAATAGTGTTAGCAATCGACAATAGATAGTATAGATAACATTAATCGGGCATTAACAACTTAGGTAAAATTGATGTTTGTGGACTGATGTATTGTGCTGTTTTCTTTTTCTCCTTTTCGGTATCTATTCACGATGAAGATTTTTAAAGCATTTAGATTGTCGCTAACCTCATTCTAAAGCGGATTTTATTTGTTTGTAAATTGAAAACATAACTTGTGATTACTTGTGATTAACGTTCATGCTGAAATACTGATAAGAATGTATATTTTAAATTGCTGTAATATTTTGTTTAAATCGAATTTATCCAGATAGTGTTCCATTCCGTCTACCCATCTTGAATTCATTATTTACTCTTTTAAGTGTTGTGTCATTGTTACCATTTTATATTTGATGTTAAAGATCTTTCTGATAAAAACACAAATGAATATTCAAATACTAACCATTAAATTTCAGTTAGGATGACTTTGTTATCGCAGCAACTCCAGAAGTTAGCACTTCCTAAAGAGCAGGTAAAAGGAGGAGCAATCCAGCACTCCTCCCTCATCTTCTCCACCAGAGTTGCCTCGGACTACGATGTCCAGGATATCTATGATATTGGATCAACGGTTTCGAAGAGCTAGTCGCGCTGAACCCTTGCTTTGCCCGATTCAAAGATACCCTATTTCACCAGACTGCTGGAAAGTTTGAGCGGCTCTTGAAGAGTGCTGAATTTCTAGAAGGGGTTGATAGTGAGATTGAGCTTTTCCTTGCCCATGCTTCGAATTACGGTCTTCTGTCACCTGCTCACAAAGCTCTGGAGTGGCTTGTCAGAGCTTATAAGATCCACATTTACAATTCTGACGCCCTACTCTCTGCTTTCATCCCACTTCATGATTCTAAAGTTTTCGCTAAAATCTTAGAGATCACAACTCTGCCCGATACGTGGATTTGGCTAGAGACCGCCAAGACGAACAACGTAAGTGTTGGAAGAGCAGAACTGGTGAAACTCTGTACATCCAACCCCCACTACCTCTCCTGCTTCATGGAGCGAGCAATGAAGATCATCAACCTGACCGAAAACACGGCTAGAATTCACCACTCTTTCCTCGTGACCCTGGTCTTCTTGGTCCTGGAACAGTTCGAGGAAGTTCCTCCTGATGTTTTTCCGAAGATCTATTCCTGTATGATAACAGCCATCTCCAGTTCAAACAAGGACCTCAAATCAGCTGGGTACATTATTACTGGGCAGGTTATGAGGAAGATCACGTTGAAGGATCAGATAGTACGTGAGCTGATCTCTACTGTTGCTGCTCATCCCAACCCATCGCTGGTTAAAGAGTTGATCCTCTGTATCTCGTGTATTTTGCACTTCCATCCAGTGTCAGATCTACCAGTTGGACTTGTCGAGCTGTTGTTGCAGGATCAGTTTGTCTTGGCATTGGGCTTGATTTACGAGAAAAATGATATCAGCGGATTCATCAAAGAGTTACTCGTGACTGGAGTCGATCTTTGCTTCAAGTCTGGCATTTTGTTTTCCGAGAAATTTTCACGAATGTTCCAACTGCCCGACCTTCCAGAGAGTATCGTGACTAGTGTTGTAGATCGTTACTTCGAGCTGTACTTCGCCGCCTCTCAAGAAACAAGAAATTCTGAAAGTGTGAATCAGCTTGGGGACATGCTATCTTCATCATTCTCCTCCCAAGTTCAGGACACATTCCAGAAATTCCACTCTCAAGGATCCGACATGGTGGTACTAGGACAACTTAAAACCCTCATTCTTGGCAAGTATCTCGGAAATGAGTCTTCACAGAAAATTTTAGAAATCAACCACGAGCTACCTGGCATCCGTATGTTAGGATTACTGAAGATATCAGAGAAGCTGGATTCTGGACGGGAGCTGTCCAGTGAGGAAGAAAAGGATATTACCGGTACGATCATCTCGAGGATTACCGACGAGGATGACTCTGTTTCGATAAAATCCCTGGAAATGATCAAGAAGTTTATAAAGACCTCAGAAGTGTTGGATTCTGTCACTTCTGCCGTTCTAAAGAAGATGCAATCAATGGTGACAGACAGAAACCTGAACAAGGACACCGTGGTATCCCTCATAGCCTCTCTGATCGGGTTCCCTGAATCCCAACAGATCCTTCACACCCTGCTCCTAGCTGTAGTGAACTTTATTCCGGTGTGTGATCAGCATCACTCTAAACAGATAGCTGTGCAGCTCAGGTAAGCACTTCTTTTCTGCTGTCATGTTTACCACTTCTAAAGTTCTAACTGTCTTCGGGTCTCTTTGTTATAACTTTTCTTATTTTATCCAACTTCTAGCGTGTCTTTTAATCGGCTTATTCTTCTGCTTTAACCTGCTTATAAAGCAATGAAAGGCATTAGTTTGGTCAAATCAAACGGAACATATGCTATCAGACTTTCAACTGACTAAGGCAGGGTTAAAACAGTTTTAACGCTAGCAATGATCCCCTTTTACATAGTTCCACTAAAATGATAATTTAAGATTAAATATGTATACTGTATAGTGATAGGTAAATAAAGTAAAAATGTAATAAAACAGTAGGGATAAAGTATACTAAGTAAACGTAGTCGACACGTCATAAAACGAACTGACCCAAATTAAACTGATAGATCTCCCGCGTAATTTCCCGCGTAATTCTAAAACTCCGATTTGCGCCGCTGCAAAGTTATTATAAAACTAAATTCAACACGTGCGACAAATATGTCCTGTTTTAGGTCCAGCGAGTCTCTGAAGCGACTCAGCGCCTATCTTCCAACTGACACCAACCTGGACGTGCTGGTTACCCACATCCGTGATTACCCTCAGAGAGCAGCTCTAGTGGAGACGATGTGTAACAACCCCACCCCACAACACTTCAGGGTCATCTGTTCTCTAGTTGACGCTGTGGAGGGTGGTGAAGTTAGTACCCTCGCTCAGTACCTTCTCTCTGTCTTGAACACGGCTGTCGATAGAAAGGTATGCTGGGCGGCTGTTGAGGAGGTGATTTGTGTTTTGTTTTTAAGGTTGTTAATTGGTTATGGTGGTTTAATGAAATATTAGATGGTTATAAGTTGAATCCTAATTAAACGTCTTACAGTTTGAGTACAAAGAGATGCTTGTCCAAGATGCTGATTTCGAGAATACTGTTGCTAAAGCCCCAAAGTTCTTCAAAAATTTCGCCATCATGAAACGCGTAAGTTTGTCCAATTCTAAATTTAAATTTTTGATAAATTTCACTCCTTCAAACTTACACCTAGTAAGTGACTAATAACCGAGAACAATTATTTCTTAAGTTGAGGGGGGGGGGGGGGGGGGGGGGGGTCCAACCCGATGTCCGATATGAGGGTTGATGAGGCCAAAATCGGAATCGGAAAAATCGGAAAAATCGGAAAATTGAGAAATTAACAGAATCGATCTCTAACACCTCTCAGAAGTGATATAATTCAACCAGAACCCCTACATATGCTATATTGTTATGAGAAAACGAACCAATTGGACATTCCAATAGTATGTTTTATGTGTTTTTCCACTGCAGGGGCGCTAGTATGCTCACTACTAGTTGGAGTTGTCATGTACTCCCAGACCCGAGTGCTTTGGCCTTTTGACGTGAGATCGATTGTTTCTGCTCATTAATTTTATCCCTGTTACTTGTTATTATGTATTAGTACAACACTAGGTACCGGGTTATATTTTGTGGTCCGGTCTTTAAACATACCATAATATCACTAATACACTGCACCTTAAATGTATAGTCAAGTACATTTGTGGACACGTTCATTTGAGTTTGAGGATATTGGTAAACAAAAATAATAGCGTTTTTGACGATAGTGGCTTAATTTTGACATCTATTAACCTAGCACGTTCAGAAGTTCTGAACATTAGCCACGTAGCCCATCCTCCCATATGCACCGCTCAGAAAGAAAATCTATTGTTGTTAGGCACTATAATGTTTCAAATGTCACATTTTGTGTGACTTAGTTAACTGCAGTTGTCTAATTATCATTCTTTGGTCTGAAATATAGTAAATTAGGTCAATCTAAAAATTATGATACAACATTGGTTAATGGGCACGGATCGAACGGTTACAAGGCAATATTTGGGTAACTTTGTCACACTCATGATACCATACCTCTATTCTACTGTGAGGTGTCCTAAAAACCCTTTCAACTCATTATTTGATGGTTGCTCTACCAATCATAGCCCTAAAATATGTTGTTTTGAATATATAGCTAATACAGGCACTCGGTTATTGGGAAATGAGGTTAATTCTGTCACAATATATGGAATTTAAAATTTTGGGCGAATTATTTATATCTGATTTTGGTTTGAAAGGCGGGAAAATTTTATATGATGACAATGTAGTTGATGCAAGTTAAGATCAGTTGATGTTAACATTGTCACAAAAAATTATACGAAATCGTAAATAGATTAAAAACAATGATGATAGAATGAAATAGTCTCTTATAATAACTCTTATAATAACCCTTATAATAACTGATGTGACAAAGTAAACATGTCTTGCCCCTATTTTGAAGATCTATATTCTATACCTCTATTAGAATATTGTCCAGAACATCAGAGCTTAAGTTTAACAATTTTAGGTTAAATTTGTCAAAGTCACTAAAAATGTGACAAAATTAACTTTTCATGCCCCAACAATTTCAAGATAGTGTGTAAAAATTAGCAGGCTGCTTTATTACTTATATAAATCAATCCAAACTACAAAAAAATATATGTTAATGTGATGTCGATTACCTAACTCTTATAATAACTGATGTGACAAAGTAAACATGTCTTGCCCCTATTTTGAAGATCTATAACTCTATTAGAATTCGACATTCTTTCATAAACGATTGGAAGAATATTGTCCAGAACATAAGAACTCAATTTTAAAAATTTAGATTAATTTGTCAAAGACATTGAAAATGTGACAAAATTAACTTTCCCTGCCCCAACAGTATCAAGATACCCAAGATAGTGTGTTAAAATTGGCATAGGATTTATTACAGGTATATTAAAGTATTAATCGATCCAAACTACGAAAAATATCTTTTAATCTGATGACGATTACCTAACTCTTATAATAACTGATGTGACAAAGTAAACATGTCTTGCCCCTATTTTGGCGAACTATACCTCTATTAGAATACTATGTAACTTTATCATCAAACAAATTTCGATAAAGTAGTTATTTTGCCAGCAAGGAGCTAACAGAGTTATAATAATTTTTGGTGACGAAATTACCCTATTTTTGACCATGTAGCGGTAGTTTAATTGTGACACTGTTAACATATTACCACCTGATAATGATTTGTGTGACTGGTGCATGGTACTAGCAGTGTTGTTTGATCCATAGTACGTATAATATAAGGGGTTTAAGCTGGTATATCATTATTTGTTCAATTTCACACATGTTCAGATATCATCAAGATTATGTGACAAAGTAAGCTTGGTTGTGCCTTCTGTGTTTTAATTCCTTACGACTATATAATATAATAACAATTCCCAGCACTTCCAGGCCATCAAATAAACTGACACTACTCAGCATTGCTTATCAGGGTGCCCTAAACATTCATCACATATTTTCTTTAATGTGTGACAGAGTAAACCTGAATGCACCATCTAACGAAAAAAGTCGTCAAATATGTAGGTAATGGTCATATGTACCCATCCAATCAACTGGACACTCAAAAATTTGGTCAAAAACGGCAGCAAGGGGTCCATATTTACTCCGTCACATGTTTATAGTGTGACAATGTAACCATTTCCGTGCCGGCCGTATTTAAGCGATATCTTATCACCTGATTAAGATATCGTTATGTGACAAAGTTAGCCTGGAGGATGAGACGATTATCCTAACCATCAAGGGTTTAAGTAATTTCATAGTGTGACAAAGTCAACTACACTGTGCCTTTTAATAGGGTCACTTATATTTACCAATTTCCTCAAACTCAAATGAACGTGTCCTTGTATCATAACACATGCTTGGCTGGGGGATCATGTTTTGTGTCCGTTCGGTACCCTATATTTTCAAAACGGACAAAAAGTAGAGCGAACAAAAACGGACAAAAACAGACAAAAACAGACAAAACATTTACATGTCCTCCTCCTCCTCCCTGGTCTTCCTCCTCCTTCTCATCAGTCCTCCTCCTCCTCCTAAGTCTTCCTCCTCCTCCTGAGTCCTTCTCCTCCTCAGTTCTCTTCAGTCCTCTTCCTGACTCCTCGTCCTCGTCCTTCTCCTCAGTCCTCCTCACCCTGCTCCTCAGTCCCCTCCTCCTCCTCAGTCCTACTCCCAGTCCTCCTCCTTCTCCTTCTCCTCCTCCTCCTCATTTCTCCTACTCATCCTCCTCCTCCTTCTCCTCCCCATCAGTCCTCCTGAGTCCTCCTCATAGTCGTCCTCCTCCTCCTGAGTCCTCCTCATCCTCCTCCACCTCCTGAGTTCTCCTTCTGAGTCCTCCTCCTCATCCTCCTCCTCAGTCATCCTCCTCTTCCTCCTCAGTCCTCCCCAGTCCTCCTCCTCCTCATCCTCCTCCTTCTCCTCCTCATCAGTCCTCATCCTCTGTCCTCCTCATAATCGTCCTAGTCCTCATCCTCATCCTTAGTCCTCCTTATCCTCCTCCTCAGTCCTCCCCCAGTCCTCCTCCTCATTCTCCTCCTTCTCCTCCTAGCCTCATCCTCCTCCTCCTTCTCCGCTTTCTTCTTCTCCTAATCAGTCCTCCTCCTCCTCGTCCTTAGTCCTCGTCCTCGTCCTCCTCAGTCTTCCTCCTCAGTCCTCCTCCTCATCATACTCCTCCTCCTCAACAGTCCTCCTCCTCCTCCTCAGTCTCCTCCTCCTCATCGTCCTCCTCAGTCATCCTCATCCTTCTCCTCATCAGTCCTCATCCTCAGTCCTACACTAGTCGTCCTCGTCCTCTTTCTCCTCCTGAGTCCTCCTCCTCCTCATCAGTCCTCCTCCTCCTCTTCAGTCCTCCTCCTGAGTCCTCCTGAGTCCTCCTCCACCTTCTGAGTCCTCCTCCTGAGTCATCCTCATCCTCCTCAATCTTCTCCTTATCCTCCTCCTCCTCCTCCTCCTCATTCTCCTCCTTATCCTCCTCCTTCTCCTCCTCCTTTTCCTCTTCCTTCTCCTCCTAATCAGTCCTCTTCTTTAGCCCTCATTATCATCCTCCTAGTCCTCGTCCTTAGTCCTCGTCCTCATCCTCCTCAGTCTTCCTCCTCAGTCCTGCTCCTCCTTCTCCTCCTTCTCAGTCCTCTTCCTCCTCAGCCTCCTCCTGATCCTCCTCTTTAGTCCTCTTCCTCCTCCTCAGTCCTACTCCTCAATCCTCCTCCTCCTCCTCCTCCTCCTCCTCCTCCTCCTCCTCCTCCTCCTCATCCTCATCCTCCTCATCCTCCTCCTCCTCAGTCCTCCTCCTCCTCCTCGTGAGTCTCATCCTCCTCATCCTTCTCCTTAGTCCTCCTCCTCTTCCTCAGTCCTACTCCTCAGTCCTCCTCCTCTCCCTCATCCTCTTCAGTCCTCTTCCTCAGCTCTCATCTTCTTCCTCCTCAGTCCTCCTCCTCTTCAGTCCCCAGTCCTCCTCCTACTCGTCAGTCCTCCTCCTCCTCCTCCTCGTCCTCATCCTCCTCGTCCTCATCCTCAGTCCTTCTCCTCCTCCTCAGTCCTCCTCCACCTCCTCAGTCCTCCTTCTCCTTCTCCTTCTTCTCCTCCTACTCCTAAGTCCTCCTCCCCTCCTCAGTCCTCCTCCTCCTTCTCCTCCTTTTTTTCCTTCTCCTCCTTCTCCTCGTACCCCTAAGTCCTCCTCCTCAGTCCTCCCCCAGTCCACCTCCTCATCAGTCCTCTGCCAGTCCTCCTTCCCCTCCTTCTCATCCTCAGTCCTCCTCCTCATCATCCTGCTCAGTCCTCCCTCAGTCCTCCTCCTCCTCAGTCCTCCCTAAGTCCTCCTCTTCCTCAGTCCTCCCCCAGTCCTCCTTCTCCTCTTCATCATCAGTCCTCCTCCTCAGTCCTCGTCCTCGTCCTTCTCCTTCTTATTAGTCCTCCTCCTCAGTCTTCCTCCTCGTCCTCGCTCTCGTCCTCCTCCTCAGTCCTCCTCGTCCTTAGTCCTCCTCTTCCTCACCAATGAGCTGCTCCTCTTCGTCAGTCCTCCCTCTCCTCTTCAGTCCTCCTCCTCCTCAGTCCTCCTCCTCCTCAGTCCTCCTCGG